TTATTAAACATGTTTTTTCAATGCTCAAATTCGGCTTATTTTACGAAATATACTAAGTCAGGATTGACCTGACATAAACCGATTCGTAAGCCCTTGTAGACCGACTCGGCCCAGTTTCACCCCTACTTGTGCCCTTCAACTTCAAGAGCTTAACGTCACTTAATCATTACTAGTTTCCACTCATTATTATTTTTTAAATGTAGTCCTGGCTTTAGGCTACTAATCAAATGAGTTTCTTAGTGCCATCATTAAGCGGCTGCTCCATCTTTTATTCAGAAGCGCAAAAAAGAAGAGTGGTGAATCTAGCATATAGTACTCTCTTTTTCTTTTTTTTTGTAATGTAGCATATAGTACTAAGTGTACTCTACACTTTTGTATTTTAAAGTTTAAAGTGATCAGCCATGAGAGCAGTACATCTCGCTTTTATATTTTTCTCTTTTAATCCCTTTAAGCAAAGGATCGAGTACATTTTACATGTAAGATCATGGAATTTTCCAGTTCCACGGCTAGCAATCATAAATTTATGACCAACGTAAAGATCAAGATATCAATATTTAGGGTTTAGAGTTTAGGGTACGGAATACACGTGAGAGTATATATGGATTTATGGGGAAAAAACATATTATATAGACTTAAATATTGAAGTGTCCTTAAAATTTTTATTTTTAAGAGGATGCAATTCACACGAGTGTTTTAAAACCTCACCTCATCTTGGGTGGACCCCTTCGAGTCACTAACCCCTTCTCTCTGAGGGTTCGGGTTAACAGTTAGACACTACTTGCACGTTGATCCCTCTAACCCTGAAACCTCCAGTTGAACCCATGACTCTCGAGTGAGAGAGGTCAAAGGGATCACTGCATTTAAAAAAAATATATATATTATACACGAAATCACGTCATTTGATGTGTAAAAAAAAAAAAAAACTTGATGCTGCCTAAATTTAGAACTAGATCTGAAATTGAATCGTTCTTCTTTTTTTCTTTCGATCTTCTCTCCTAGACCCAGACTTAGTCTCCCTGTTCCGGTGATATCATCCACCGTGCTAGTTTTTCTCTCTCAACCGTTAATTTGTCGTGTCATCGTCTCTCCTCCGCTATTCGGTATTGGGTAAGAGATTTTCTTTCACATACTGTTGTAGGTGCATGAGAAGGACAAGAAGGGCCTGAGTTTGATGATATAACTTTTCATTAACTCCATTGAAATATGTGTTTATACTTTGATAGTTTGATGCTTTGATTAGCTTATGAATATTGACTTGTGTATGTAATTGGTTAAATTATGTTAAGTATATTTTGAATCTTTAATGATTGGTGGTTTGAATTTTTTATATAGAATATATTTTTTAATGCATAAAATTGGATCAACGAAGTGGCCCCATGACCTCCGATTGAACCTATGACTCCTAACCTTGGCCGAATTGATAGTCGGACCAAATTTTAATTGACACAATGAAGTATGGTTATTCGATAAAAAATTTAGTAATTTAGGACCACCAATCATTGGGTGATTTTTTAAAAAAATTTGGGACATAAATAAAAATATAAATGAAAGAATCAGTAAAGTGGAAGAATTTTTTTTCATATTTTCAGGAAAAGACTACACAATTGTTAGTAATCCTGACCACTGAAAATTTTTTCTTATAAATTACTCAAACTCCGAATGCTATGGACCAATCGAGTGAAGTTAATGTGCTCCCGGAGCAAAAGAGGGTTTGGTGGGACTGGGGAGAGAGAAAGAGAAAAAAAATTGAGGAGAGAGAAAAAAAGAAAAAAAAATTAATCCAACTGTCAAATTTTAAGTGAAAGGACCATGGTGGTCCTGAATCACATTAAAAAAATTCCGGACCAATCACACCAAATATAAAAAATTAAGCCTGGTCTATATTGTCAAATCATTTAATAACACGGCATGTTAAGTATTATCATTGCATCTTTTATGTAATGTTTTAGAGGAGAAATATTCTAACTACTAAAATTTTTCACTACCAACTTATTATCTATCTAATCATCATTAGATTAACATTTTCTCTCTCTTCAAAATCTTTTTAACATTTTCTCTCTTTGATCCAACGGGTAGTAACTTAGTAGTAAGAATTTTTGGTAGTTAAAATATCTTCACTCAATATTTTAATATTTTAAGTGTTGATGTGATAATGTGACTTCCTTTAAAAATTAAAACTCATCCAAACTTAAAAAGTAAAATTATAATTCAAAAACATTTAATTAAGGGCAATCTTGATAAAATAAAATTCAATAACAGATTTCAACCAAACAAAAAAATAAAATATATTACACAAATATTCAGTTTATTAATCTAACCTATCATTACAAAAATATTCATAAATCATATTAAAAATGAATATTAAAAATTAAATAAAAAATCCTAAGAGGCAAGCACGTAATAATATTTAATTTATAAAATAACCTATCATAGTAAAAATATTTATACATTATCTTAAAATTAACCACACAAGTCAATATTTAGGTGTTTGCATATTATGAAAGCTAAAAAATTATATATTATTAATCTTTTCTTCTCCTGCAATTAAGAAGGAAAACTTATGTATCCATCATAGGGAATGATTTTTTTTTTGGATACATAGGGAATGAATCTTTTTATATATGATTTAACATAACTTTGATATGTAAAATATCTCAAGCGTTCACGGACAAATCAACAATAATAAAATATGAACAGAGAAAAAGTGTTGGGATAGAGAATATGAAAAAGATAACTAGTGATTTATATGTGAATAATTGAGATCCTTTCATGTAACACAATCCTGTTAAATCATCTACTAGAGGATTCATTCCCATCCATGAGATATATAAATACTTTTCACAGTGAGAGAAAGAATTATTTTTAATGCAACAAAATGAATTAATATGGAGGTATATTGTTTCTCCATATAAAGCCTAAAAGGAGAGAGGGGATTAACAGTGTGTTGAGTTGAGTGGGGGAAAATTTTAGGAGCACTAAAATTGGCACAATGGCATATGCGGTTGGTGGTCCTGAGATCAGTGGCCCTAATCAAAGGAATCTCATTCTCCATATAAAAAAGCAGGCGACAGAGAAACTCACCCTCTCAAATTGACTTGCAGCTTCATAATCATAGCTACCCCTAAGACCTGCACATGAATCATGGCTCGTTGTTTGCTTTTCTCCGCCTTGAATTTGCTGTTGTTTGTAGTCACGTCGTTTATCCAGAGACACTGTAGCCACTGACCGCAAAGTTCTTATTTTATATATATATATATATATAGTATAAAAAAGTTTTGACGGGGGAGACACAGATATATAATTCACCAGGGTCAGAATAGACCTGTTCAACCTCTACGAGAATTTATGCTGGGGACAACGGAAAGAAAGTCCATTTTACAGTTTATCCACCAACATGAGCTTCAAAATAGCCAGAGGGAATCTAACCCACGCCCTTTTAAGATATGGGTCGACTCCTTGGCCTTATTTTCTATATTTTTTTTTTTGTATAAACTGGAAGTATCTTCATTCAACCTCCTCCAGTCACCTTGTCATCGTGATACTGCCCTGTAGGCTAGCTCCTTATTGGAACAACGGGTGCATTGAACTTCGCTATCGGAGGAAGAATGAGACTAATCCCTCCATTCGAGGAGGGAGGCACATCCACTGAGTAAGAGTAATATTTTTCTTAAATTATATAAGAAAATATTATTTTTTATTTAAATAATAAATAAAAAAGAGAAAAACATTTATAGGATTTATTTGAAAAATATAAATGTAAAAGATAATATTTTTCTTATATAACAGAAAAAAAAAATATTACCAAGTAAATTGCAACTGACAAAACACAACAAAAACATGGCTAACGAATATATACATACCTGGCTCGTATGGTTACATTACATACACCTGCTTTTCCTCATCACATCCCGTTCCATCCCCCCAAAAAAATCTGGTACATGCGTGGTTCCATTATTATGCCTTTTTTAATTTTTCTATCATCCGTAATAATTATAAAATTATATGTTACTGAAAATTTACTTAGATAATTAAAAAAAAATTAAAATGAAAACCTATTCCTGAAGGCTGAAGACACTTTATTTTTATTTTATTAAAGTCTAATCGTATCATTTCTTTTCGTAAAAAGATGCCATAATAGAAATCTAGCGAATAGAAAAAAAAATTGTAACTTAAATGAATTTGTAAGAAGTTATAACACACAAACTTTACTACGAATTTGAAATTAATTAGGTGAAATTCTTTGACTAAATTCGAATTGAGCTTATCTATCGGAGGAAGGATAAGACTAATCCTCCTATTAAAAAAAAAAGGCACATTCTTTGATCTCCAAAAAATTTTCAAGAATTTAATTGAGACAGAGTTTGAACCTCTGACTCAAACAAATCATTGAGAGCTCAGCTGAATATAGCAACTACCTTGAAGGTTAACTATATCCAATTTAAAGACGCTATTTCTTAGCGTTCCACCAGCGCATAGCCATAATGGAGTTAATAGTTTTGTTTTTGTTTTAAAAAAAAAAAAAAATTTGTTAAAAAAATTATGTGACGTATCATAATTAATTTAAAATAAATAAATCAAACCAAACACCTTCTAAATTTATAATGTATATATTGCTAAGGTAATACATAAAAGGTATTTTTATATTCCAATTTCACCCTTAAAAATTTCCGACATTGGTTAACGGAGTCAGCACTTGATTCGTCATAGCGTTAGTTATTATCGGTCCTTTAAACCGGGAGAAGTAAAGAGAAGTAGTTAGCCACTTTCCAATTCCCATCATGCTTCTTGAATCTTCAGGTTATTCTATTTTCTTTTGTTTACCTTTTTTCCGCTCAAGATTACTTCCATAAAACCAGAATTTGCATAATTTGTTTTGTTTCGTTTCGTTTCCACACCCAGATCAGATCTCATTATTTATGTCACTATTTCCTTCCTTATCTGAAGAACGTTAGTAAAAACTAAAAAGACTAGTGCCAAGTTAAAACGTAAGAGGATAAATAATCACACAAATAAAAAATAAAAATAAAAAGCCATTCGAGGCTGAGAAAATGACAACTCTGCGTTTGTTGCAGCTTGCTCGTTCCTCCAAACTCATACTCATACTCACACTCACACTCACTCCAAACACAAACACTGTTTCTTTCATTACACATCCACAGTGATTACCACTGATACTAATAACTCAAGAAAAACCCTAAATTAGGGTTCCTCTTCCTCTTCCTCTTGATCTTGCTGAACCTCTACATTACTTAGTAGTTAGCTGCACCTACAGTATCCTAATTGGTTATTATTAGTCTTCCCCACACATTTTGGAAGGAACGCAACGCAACGCAACGCAACGCAATGGGGTTTTGTTGAATGAAGGAAACGATGCTGGTTTGGGGTTCGTTAATCTGACCCAAGCAAATGGTGGGTGTGGGTGTGGGCAAGGGGTGGAGGTTCAGTTTGTTTTCGACGAACGTGGCTCTGTTATCGCGACCTAACAAACATTTTTGTTGGAGATCGACGACGCCGTTTCAGCAGAGGAAGCCGATCTCTTGGTCGGTGGTTTGCGGGTTAATGCTTTTCGGGTTGGGTTTGATTTCGCTTTTGACGGGTCACATGGCTTCTAATCTTGAATGGTACTCCAACCGATTGGTCCATCGCACTTTCTACTCCAGACTGGTAAATCTTCTTGTTTTTTCATTTTCGTGTTGCAATGTGCTGTGCTGTTACCACACAAGTTCGATTGATTGATTCGAGTGCTAGTTTTGCATGTGAATCTCTTTCTAGGATGGGAATTATCGTGCGCCAATCGATGTTTGGAAATCACAATATTCTAAATACTACTATGGATGCAGTGAAAGGGGACGCCATTTTGCTCGTGAGTTTCTTTATCAACCCCTCTGTTTCTTACTCTACACATGAGCACCGTTCAAATGCTCTTCTTTCGTGAATTACAATTCTTTATCAACCCCTCTGTTTCTTACTCTACACATGAGCACCGTTCAAATGCATCTTCTTTCGTGAATTACAATTCAGTATTTTCTTTGTGCCAAAAGTTTGAGCTGTTATCAAGCGCCATTGCTATTTTAGAAAATTTTATTTGCGGAGTTTAGTTAACTCTCCTCTGTTGCGTGAAATCATAGGTTTGTTGCATTGGCTAACAATGGAAGCGATTCTACCTTCTTATTTATGGTGTTTTGCTAATACTATAGATATCAGATTCTTCTAGATTACTTACCTGTGGCACTGCTAATGAGATCCATTGCTGGAATCATCTTCTTCCTGCTCTTTTAAATATGTATGTATTCATTGGCTGCAAGGGAAAGAGCTATTGTCCTTGAAAGTTTCTTATTTTGTTTTGAACACACTATGTTTCTTGCTAACCATTGATGTGCACAAAACTTAGACTGATAAAATCTGGGCCTTACGAGACTTGTGAACAAATTGAAAGGCTCCATTTTATGTTTTGATTTGTTTGTGCACAAATTATCTCCTTGAGATTGGGCTGAGAAATATACTAACTTTTCAATGTGTCACTTTCTCTCTTATTTTGGCAACTGGATTATGTAGCTGCTGTGCGCGAACGAATGTCAAATGGCTACTTGCTTATTGCAACTAGCGGAGGACTGAACCAACAAAGAACTGGGGTAAGTAGGACATAAACTTCATGATCTGTTGAATCATAATCATAAGAGGTTTTTATAAGATCTTTCGTCTTAGTTGCTTCCCTACTGAATAAAAGCATGACAACGTAAGAGCTTTATACAGTTTTCTCTTATCTAATTGGCTCTGATTCAGTTGTTTACAAGAGAATATGAGGCTTGGTAAGGTTCTCTTTCCTAGTCATGCAGATAATTTAGAACTTTATAAATGAATATGTTCTTTATGTGGAAATGACAATCAATGTTCCTGCATCCAGATAACAGATGCTGTCGTTGTTGCACGAATTCTTAATGCTACACTAGTTGTACCTGAGTTGGATCATCATTCTTACTGGAAGGATGACAGGTAATCTGCAGATCCTATTATACATTTACCATAAGAATCAAGTTTAGTGGTTCATTTAATAAAGACACTTTTGTCTGAATACAGTGACTTCATCAATATTTTCGATGTTGATTGGTTCATTTCTTATCTTGCAAAAGATGTTACTATTGTCAAAAGAGTTCCTAATAAGGTCATGCGGTCAATGGAGAAACCCCCATATACAATGCGTGTCCCAAGGAAATCAGACCCTGATTATTATCTTGATCAAGTTTTGCCAATACTTTTGAGACGACAGGTATGGCAGCCACTTTACTCGTTGCAATTGGTACATGTTTGAAATTTCTTAATTCACTAGAGGATGTTTTGATTCGTTATATGAATGTCATGATGAAAAATTAATAATTGGTTTTTGTCAATTTGCAGAATGTCTCTGTGAATTTGGCTGTGGTAACTAAGTAAATAATATTTGGGACATTTTTCAGGTTGTGCAATTGACGAAGTTTGACTATAGACTTGCGAGTAACCTTGATGATGAGCTACAAAAACTGCGTTGCCGTGTTAATTATCATGCTTTGATATTTACAAAACCTATACAAGAACTTGGTCAAAGACTTGTTATGAGAATGCAAAAGATGGCACACCGTTTTATAGCAGTCCATTTGAGGTTTGTTTGATTTTTCACTTTTCATAACTTCTTTATGGTGTTCTGAAATTTGAAAGTCATTGTAATTCAACATCAACATCAACAACACCTTTATCCCAAAATAGTTGGGGTTGGCTGAAAGTCATTGTAATTAGTTGAACAATTTCAAAATGTTGAATTGGAAGTATTTGTTGACTTACTTCTACTTTGGGGTGCTAAGGAACGGGACCTCTCAAATTCAACTTTATCATGCAACTTAATAGTTGCACTAAGTTGATAACAACTTCTTGTTTTATTCAAAAGTAGGAAATAAAATGAATGACATAAGAATTTGGGAAGCGAGGGGGATCCATGTTAATTGCCACTAACAGTATTCATGATTGATTTATGACAGGTTTGAACCAGATATGCTAGCATTTTCAGGTTGTTATTTTGGTGGGGGGGCAAAAGAAAGACGTGAGCTTGGTGAAATCAGAAAAAGGTGGACAACATTACCTGTAAGACTACAAGCCATTGATTCTACTGCTAAAATCTTATTCATTCAACTAGCCAGATTTTGACATTTTGTCCTTTCTTAACTCTGCTGACTTTCTAAAGGTGTTGAAACCTACTTTGTTTCTGACACAGCCTACTGTAATATGCTTTCGGAGATGCTTTCTAAGTACAATTTTTTTTGCCGTATAAAACTTCTTAAAGTTGAAGTTAGTTATTTTTATGCTGGTATGAAATATTTGTCATTACCTCATGATAAAACAGGATTTGAGCGCGGATGGAGAGCGGAAGCGAGGAAAATGCCCACTTACTCCTCATGAAGTGGGTTTGATGCTGCGGGCACTTGGTTTTGCAAATAACACATACCTCTATGTTGCATCAGGAGAAATATATGGTGGGGAAGAGACTATGCAGCCTCTCAAAGATCTTTTCCCTAACATATATACAAAAGAGATGCTTGCTGATGAAGAGCTGAAACCTTTCCTTCCATTCTCTTCCCGCCTTGCTGCTATTGACTACGTTGTTTGTGATGAAAGCGATGTGTTTGTCACTAACAACAATGGTAACATGGCAAAGATTATTGCAGGTCGAAGGTAAGAGTGTTTAAAATTACTCTGATGTCCTCTTTTTGTTTGGTTGGTACATTAACGAACTTCCTTATTTAAAAAAAATCATACTGAACACAATCAGTAAAGGATTATCCATGTCTCATATTGGAATAGCTAGAGTCATAATTATTATTGTTCTGTTATGAAATGTGGCTACTATGTTGCCTTATTTACTCTCGAATTATATTGAAAGTTGGTGGGAGAACAGTGTGATTTTGGTTGGATTTAGGAAATGTTGTTGTAGTTTACTATATGTATAAAAAAAAGGGATCAGTTATACATTTAGGATCCTCTGGAGCCGTGAGCTTAAAAATTGTGGAAAGATACAGAGTATAAGATATAGATTGGGTATAAAAATGGTCCACGTAACGTCTTAAATGATGTTATGATCTATCCTGTTCCTTGTCCCCCTTTTTCTTCTGGTGATCATTCCACTAGCCTTCTAAGATGTTTCTCACGCCTTGAACAATGTTGCAGATAATTTATTTTGGGCTAGGAACAAAAATTTCATATTCGGTGTTGTTTGGAATTAACAAAATCCAGTTGTAGAGCCAAATTTGAAAAGTTCCAAGGAAAATCGAGGTGGTGTAATATATATAGTTCCCAGACCATAACTTTTGGAAGATTAGTATGTATATTTTAGCTTAGCCAAATGCCTTTTACTATGAAAACCCGTTGAGAAGCCAAACTTGATTCGGTTGATAGTAGAATAGGTGGGATAACATTTAAGTCAAATTTGTATGATTTAAAAAAACAACTGTTTTTTATGTACGAACAAAAAAAAAAAACTTTTTTTTTTTTTTTAGTTGAATTGGTTCTTTACATGGTATCAGAGCCTCGGTATACCAGGTTCGATCCTCACCGCCCCCCATTTTCTTTCTAGTGAAATTTCTTTCTTCGCACAGGTAGGTGGGTCTGTACATTGTTCACCCTTCAAGCCCATTGGGCTCTCGTGTGAGGGGGCGTGTTGAGATATATAAAATCATTAATATAGCTTCACCCAACAGTTTAAGCTTTTGGGTTGAATTGGTTCTTTACAGCTAATACTCTACCATTTGAGCTAGACTTGATTAACATATAATCTTCAGTCAAGAGTCAATAATCGAGGAGATTTCAATTTCCTTGTTTACCTTGTCAACTTCCTCATTTACCAACAAAAAAAAAAACTTGATGCATGTATTGTCCTATGAAAAATATAACTTGTTTCAGGAGGTTTTCTGCAAAGCCTATGTTTGCCTTGCCACTTTTTTATAAACCGGAAAATTTAAAACTTGATGCAATAGTATACAGCATCAGGGTCTCTTTAATTGTCATCCCACCTGCTTTTGTGGGTCATAATCGCTTTTACTGACTATAGCATTTTTGTTGTCAATATATATATTTTTTTGGTAAACGTGCCTTCTCTTAAGTTTTTCTTTTTGTTTGTAATAGGAGATATATGGGTCACAAAAGAACCATCAGACCAAATGCAAAGAAGCTTAGCACGCTATTCATGGGAAGGCATGAGATGGAGTGGGATACCTTCGCCAGAAAGGTTAAGGCATGCCAGAGAGGATTCATGGGAGAGCCAGATGAGATGAGACCTGGACGTGGTGAATTTCATGAATACCCCTACTCTTGCGTGTGTGAGAGACCATATCTCGATGAACTCAGCAAAGATGTATACCGTTCCCCTAGACACGTTGCAATAAACCTGACTGCAAAAGCTTAATCCACATCGAATGGAAGGCCAAGCACATGATAAAGTTAGTTACTTTTGACCAGGGAGGTTATTGGGTTGAAAAAAAAAATATCAATTAAGAGTTGTCACCCACTCTGTTAATGCCATCGGAATGTCAATTGAAAATTGACATGCTACTGGAATGCCTCCATTCATCAGGGGGGTCCAGTTCATTGGTGGGTGACTCAGTTAAGATCAAGACATTAACGTGTTGCAAAATGTTAATATATATATATGCTTACAGTAGATTGCATTTAGGTAGTGTTTGGTTCGGCAGAAAAAAAAATTTATTAGAAAAATGTAATTGATAGGAAAAACAAAGGAAAGTAAATTTGGTAGGAAAGTTTATAAAAAATTGTTTGGTACCGCAAAATATTGATGGAAAAATTGGGTTAAAAAGCCTGATGTATGTTTGGTTGAAAATAAAAATTAGATGGGAAAAATATCTTCAATTACGAAAGTAACCTTTATTTTAAAAGTTTGAAATGGTCATGTGTGCTTAAGAAAGAAGGGTAAATCTGTCATGCCATTCATCTCTTTTTTATTTATCCGATTTCTTCCAACAATTTCACCTTTACAAAGGACTTCCTAAACAGCATAGACTCTTGTTTTTTACTCATTTCTCTCAATTGCTAGGCAAAGCGTTTTGATGGGCAAATCTACCACAATGCTTCAACCAAATGTGGAGATGTCTCTTATCCACATGCACTTCTTCAACCAAACGTGGAGATGTCTCTTACCTGCATACACTTCTCCAGAAGTATTTTCACTTCTCTCTGACCAAACACTACCTTAAGCTCTTTTAGCTGTGGGTTTCTCTTCCGACAAAACTGAGTTCCACCTTTTCTTCCATCCTGGACAGCTCGTGTTCATGCAGTAGCACATGCAAATTCAAATTGGAAAAAAAAAAATTAAAAAAAATGAATAATTAAATCAAGATTTTTTGACTTTAATCTAAAATAGTTGGGCAGTAAATAGTGAGATGTCGAATCTAAAAATTGAAACCAATTACTTAGATTAAAAAAATAATTAATCAAATATATAAATCACTCATCATTATTAGTTTATTCTAAGTTCAATATATTAACTAAATTTGTCATTAATTAAAACTTTTTTTTTTTGCTTTTTATTTGTCAACCTAAACGTAAGAGAGACAAATGAACGCTAACCCTAGCAAAGTAAACCAAAAAAGGGACCGGTTAGAAGAGGTAAAAGTCAAAGCCAAAGGGACGATTGGCTTGTAGAACATCACGTTATCATATAATCATCAAACCTACAAACAAGGCAACATGGAGAACTTCCATATACAGCAAAGGCTACAGAACCACACGAGTGGGGGATCAAATCACATTTAAATAAGACTAAAATCAATATGACCAACTATCTACTGAACTATAGTCCGCCTAAAACAAAGGAAGCAAGAATTTCCATTCCTAGGTTCCCTATTATAAATAATATACACATCTATGCTGTGCATTTGTTAATCTAATAACGGGCTGATCCTTTAACTGTACCGCATCATTGCAAGCTTCTTCCATTCAACCCTGGTTATTACCTGTTACAACTTACAGTGTTAGAACTGTAAAATAGACTCAACCAGCAACAGAAGCAAGCACTTGACTCAATAAAAACACTGGGATATGGATTCTCACCTTTAGAAGTACTACGATTATGTGAAACCGAAGGAATCTTTGAGATGATCAAAGAGCTCTGCAAGCCTTCTAATAGCTGCCATGGAGTCAACCACCATGTCAGATTCAAAAACAAAAGGGCATATATAAAATACAACTTTTCAAAGACAGTGAAAATGGTTTCACACTAAGGAAAAGATAGAAGAAGATATTTCATTAGACACGATTAAGAACAACCATTTTCAGTTATAGAAACTTACTCTTGACGTTGGCTGGATCCTGCGATTGGATCTACGGGGCTCAGCAACATCAGATGTTGAATTCATGGGATTGTCATTTAAAGCCTTTTCTACCTGACCCTTACCGAACTTGTCCCCGGCAGGTGCAAGTTTTCCTTTACTTGCTCTTGAGGTGGATGTCTTTTTAGTGGGAAGTGCATCCGCTGAAGTTGCCAGCGATGAAAATAAGATGGGTCCTTCTGTCACTCTATCAGTCGCAGAGTAGGGTGCTCTATCTGCCTGACTTTCACTCTGTGAAGCATTCTTGAAATGATTTGAAGAATCCTTGATCCTTTCTGTAAGATCATTGGTAAGAGAAAAAGCGTTTGATAAAGAAATGTCTTTTGGTGGTACCCCTCTACCCAATACACTCCGTGGTTTTCCAGACTTAAAAGTCTTGGGCTTGGAGTCAGCTCCAAGTTTCTCTTTGGTATCATATTTGGAACTATTTTTCCATCCTCGGGATCCCGAACCTTGAGGCATCAAGAAATTTGCAAGTTTAACCGAATCATTTCTATCATTAATCTTACTGCTCCCATGTGCAACATAATGCTTGCTTACTTCCATAAATTTCCTTTTCTTCCCAGGTTTAGGAACACCAAAAATCACTCTTGATCCTTCTTTTTGAAGACCAGTCCTTGTCACTCTCTGTGCATCCGGTTTATTTTCATTCTTGCTGCTCTTTCCAATGTTAAACACTTTATCGTTTTCAGTCAAATTAAGTAATCTCATTTCATCAGGGTTTGCTGACTCCACAGCATCAATACCTTTTGACATCTTGTCTTTCCCTTTTACCTCTGTAGCATGACTACCCAGTTTGGGTCGTTTTTCTTGTGGTGTATCGCCCTGTATGCAAAATGTAAAACTCAGCACAGACAGGCATGTAGTTAGAACATCAGAAGCAGCTACCAACAAAGTACCTCATGCGTAGAACTGTCATTTGCTCCCACCTTGGAAGATTCAATCCACTCCCCATCCTTCCAAATAAGGGATGGACGGAGATGCCAAGCTCTAACAACCAATGTTTCACCACTAGCTGCAGAAAGACAATCAGATTATATATTTCAAAGAACCAGGTACTAAAGCGCTATACATTTGTAAGAAACCATGCACATTACAAATTAATTTTTAATCAAGAAATATACATACCAGGAAAGTGGACAGTTAACGTTGTTTCATCTTTCTTATTCTTCTCTGTGATTACTCCTCCTCGCCAGCTGATAACAAAAAACTAGCATGTGAGACAACTTGAACAAGCATATTTATCTTTTTCGGTTTTTTGTTACAAATAATGCTCACTTTTATTTTTAATACTTGTTAGTTCATTTTTTATTATTTATCTAATTAAACCATCTTACTCCTTTTTTTATATAAAAAATACTCTAATCTCTTTTTACTCAACATACTTCTATCAAAAGAATGGGAAACACAATATGATAAGATTAAAGAACGGAAGTACAAAATAAACCTAACTTCATAAGCCAACCAAACCCACAAACATCCATGTCTATCACAACGGAAATCAATAGTGATGATATTATATTGTATCCATACACCATGTTAATAGAGTATTGAAAAAAGGCCAGTAATAAATAGCTAATAAAACAGAACTCAGTAGATAAGTATACCTTTCTTGTATCCATGCATCGACTCTATCCCCAACAGACCATGCATAATCTCCCATAGCGGCTCTACGTCTCTTTCTTGTACCTTCATACTGCAAACTAGTTAGAGGACGAGTAGTACGTATTCTGGGGGGTTTGTCTCCTTCACCTTTGAGTGAAACCCATTCCTTTAAGGGCCCTGCACCTAAAAAGTAGAGAATTAATGCATGAATACACACTCATACACAATTGAATAAAATCTTAATGAAAAATGGCAGGCAATTCATTAGCAAAATCTCTAAACACGTAATTTTTTATGATTTATCTAAAGTGCACAAAATATACTTCCAAAGCCCCAAGTATGAATTAATTTATTAGCCCTATCGCTAATAACTCCAGCAAAATCCCATAATTCTCTATGTGGTTTGTCTCCTTCTCTAAAGTGCACAGAATCTACGTTCAAAGCCCCAAATATGAATTAATTTATTAGCCCTATCGCTAATAACTCCAGCAAAATCCCATAATTCTCTATATGGTTTGGTCTAACGTAGCATTCATATCTGGATGTTCCCTTTTAAAAGAGTCCTCCTGATTGTACACACAAATGGGCCCAAGACCATCAGGTATTACCATAATAGCCAAAGAATGGAAAGACAGTCAGGTCATTTTTCTCACGGGTCAACATAGAAACTTTCATTGTCATCAAAGTACAAGCATGTATAAGCTTAACCAACCTTCAACAGCAACAAGCGAAGTGTAGCATACATAAGCTTTACCATCCTTCAAACTCAAAATATTGGCTGTGAACCACGCAGCTTTATATCCTTCATCATCTTTGAGAACCTGATACATATGATTGCTTCAGTTTATGAGGAAAAATCTAATTTTAAAGCAACACATTTCTTTTCAAAAATGTAAAGAATGCATGTAAATTAATTAAAAACTAGTACCAAATCATCAGTAGAGTTGGCATCAGAAAAATGAACCCATGGGCATTAATCTGGCTACTTTAACAAGTTTAGTACTTCAACTCAAAAAAGAAAGAAAGAAAGAAATAATTAAAACAACCTCTACAAGTGAGCCCTCCTTGATGTTATTTGCCTCCAGATTTTCAGATCCATTACTAACAGTGAAAGAGGAAACCTGCATTCCAGGCTCAGATCCAGGAACCACATCAACAGAATTGACTAGACCAGAAACCCTGCGGCCCTTCGATCCTCTTGAATTCTTTTCATTGATGTTGATAGAAGTTGAATTGTCCCTGTTCTGTGTATGAGAAGTTTCAGGAATATCTCTAACATTGTCAATGTTCACCAGATCCCTGCTCACGTCTTTCAATAATCCAACTTGCTGAGAAGACTCTCGAGGTGCTTTCCAAAACCCCTCCGGACCAGCTTCTAATAAGTCACTTAATTGCAAAGGATCACCCATAGTTACAATCTTTCCAGCTTGAGACACAGCTTCTGCTGCTAGCTCAGCAGCCTTCACGATGGCATCCATATTTTCAGCTCTTTTTGTGGCAGCTGAAGCATCTTCCACTCTCCTTTTAGCTGCTTCCTTTGCAGCAACAATGATAGAACCAGGACTATTAGTTGCATTAGCACCATTCAAGATGGAAGCAGGGGTAGCTTTTCCCAAGTTACTCGTACCCTCATAACCAGATGAAATCAATGCTTCATCAGCCATCAATTTTGCCTGAAATGCAGCATTTGATGCAACATTGGCAGCTGCAGCGGCTGCCCTTGAAACAGCTGCAGCAGCTGCGATTGCAACTGCTGCAGAAGCTAATTTGGCCTCAATATCTGACATCAATCCAGAACTTTTATGCTTGTCCAGCTGATTCCATAACTCCAGGCTATGATTCACTGCAGCAGCAGAAAGAGCAGAAGCTTCCTCTGCATGTACCTTAGCCTCCTTAACTTTCAAAAGAGACTCATCTGACAGAATCCTCTTATCAACATTCTGATCACTTTTGGGGAGATCAGCTAGAGAAGATATAGATACAACTGATTTCTCAACAGCAGTTACAGGCACATTCCTGACAGGGGTCAGGACAGCAACAGAAGTAGATGTCTGGCGACTGACAGCAGGAGTCACCAATTGCAAAGCCTTCTGGCTAAGATCCTCAGCTACAACCTTTTTCCTTTTCTTTGGCTTTGAACCTGAAGAATGCTGAACAGGTGGTACTGTCACACTATTTCCATCAAGCAGAGAGGCAGTGGCAGTCCCTACAAAGATACTTTGCAAACCTGCATTGGAAGCTGGAAAAGCAGGAGTACCATTCTTTATGCCAGAGGAAGGAGGCAGAGAAGATCCTTTGACTGAGCTTAACTTAATTGTGTCTGAGACAGGTGATGCAGAAAGATGGGCACTGTTGTCTGGTGCAGGAGTTGGGGAAGCAATCCATGGTCCATGAAGGGAGGCTTGGGGTATCCAAGATGTGTTATGTCCAAGAAAGTTCCTCAGAGGTGGAGTTTGATAAGGATGCAAAGAAGTAAGTGCTTGTGGATAATCCACAACAGAACCTCTTGCAAGGGCACTAGATTGCAGGGAATCACAAGAGAGAGTTGGTAGATTCCAAAGGGGAGATGAAAGAGGTATCAAGGGGTTTACAATTGTTGGAGTAGCCTTGCCGCTGGATCGACCAAGAGGCGAAGAGACACCTTTTACTTGAACTGTATTTTGCTTAATTGCCAAATCAGAGGTTCTAGCAACTGCAGATCTCAATTCTCAACCATCAATCAAGTCAAAAAATCAAATCAAATAAAAAGCTAAACATATATATATATAGGAGATATACCAGATCGTGATTGCAGAGGTGTTTCTGGGTTAACGGGATGAGATTTTTGACCATGCTGCCTCTCCATGCAGGCACGCCAGGCATTCTCCCAAATGCTCCTTCCACCATCTAAAAAACACAATATCTCGGAACTCAATATTTTGTTATGAATAAAAAACAGAAAAGGGCAAGCAAGGGAGTCATTGTAAACAAAAAATTAACCTGGCCCCCCAAAAGCTGATATCATATACGCCTCATCAGGTGCTGTGCCTTGACTGCAACAACATCAATAACAGAAAAAATTGGCTCACTTAATTATCATTCTTGAAAGTCTAGAATATTCTGTTGCTAACACTAAAAAGTTACCAGAGCAAAATAACTTTCTCATGCAGATCTAAATGTCTCCCATGAACCATGACTTCAAATAACAGTGTAATTGAATGAGCATTGAATAGAAGTAAAGTTTAACACAACAGAAAGGCAAAGAATATAATCAGCTAAGATTATTCCATTTTTCAATTAACCATGGGGAGTGGGGGTGTTAGGTCATGTCTTATACGAAGAATAGGAGAAAAAATGTATGATTGATGATTCATTAGCAGAAATCACATTTGTGTAGCATCCATAACAATTAAATAACATACAACAAAACCAACATTTGAAGTTGAACTCACATCAAAGCTCCATAGACAAAGATCTGTGCTCGCAATTGTACTTGTTGTAGATCCGTGAAAGGCTGATGAAACAAAATTGATGGAGAAGCAGAAGTATTCAAATCAGGAAGGATAGATGTTGAAGTATTTACAAGAGCAAATGGCTTGTTAATGTTTGAATCACTGTGCCCATACTGCTGCACCTCATTTGATTGCATCAGCTGGAAACTAGGAGATGGGCTCAGGGAAACTTTGGTTGATTTATCCCTTCTTTCAGACTGTCTAGCCAGAGTTGTGTCTTTCACGTGACTTCCTTTTCTAGAAGATTCCTTTCCGGCTGTCTTAGTAGATGATCGTCTAGTTTTGCGCTGAGGTGTGGCCTTAGAACCACTAAGAGCCACTTCTCCATCTGATATCTGTGGACTTCCATGGGAGATATTTCCTACATTTTTTATTTTTGAAGGACCTAGACCAGAAGTTGAAGGAGATCCCTCCACAGCCTTCAATAATGAAGAAGCAGAGGGAGAAAAAAAGGAAAGAAGTCTATAAGATCACTTCATATTCATGATGAAAACAACAGAATATATCATCCATGCATTCACATAATGAACATTCCAAGAAGCCCCCTTGCACATTCAGGAAGAAATTCAAACAGGAAATATAAGCAATGAAGAGAATAACATTCAGATAAAAATCCTTAGCTTGGATCATAAAGTGCAACAACACTTACTGTTGATGCTTTGTTGGTTGCAGTTGCAGTAACAGGAACTGGTTGCCTCTTGCCAACATCTTCTACATTCACATCTGCAACATCTTTTTTGGACAAATCAACCACTGAATTTACCTCAGGAGCCGAGCTTCTCTCATCTTTAGATGCATTATTCCCCTTCATATCTTGAGCAGTAGACAATGTATTTTTTGCATCACTATTGGCAGAAGCCTTAACTTTAATCTCATCCTTTTCAGTTAGAGAAGGGCTTCCAAATGTACTAGGCGGACTGCAAGCACTATCGGAAGGAAAGTTTCCAGTCTCATGCAACTCAACAGAAGAGTCAGGTAAAGGAGCAGAAGATATGGAACCTTTGTTTCCAAGTAAAACATCACCTACAAAGTTATTCTTGTAATAGGTAAGGAGACATTTGAATTAATGTTTTGATAGAAAGAACATGTTATGCACATCGCCAGCAAAAACCACTCAGCACCAGACATTATAAAAAATCTACCATCATGACATGGTTATTTATCGCCATTGACAATGGAGCCATGCTTATAAAAGGACAATTACAAACATATAGGGCTATGCCGCTATGCAGAGAAAAATATAGTGGTCATCAGAATGGTTGGGACGCCGCTAACTGACACAAATAACACTTGTGAACCCCAGAAGACTAATATCTCAGGTTCAACTCACTTTTATCACCTTTGCTCCTTCACGACTGGGTGTATGCTACTGATTTATCCTGTCGAAGGATGTGTATTTAAGGGAATCTTCTATAAAGAATTGTTTCCCTGTCTTTATTGCCTTTCAACTTGGATGAGGCTCCATTTTCCCTATTCATGAAAATTTCACTTCTCCAAGAACCTCAATAACCAACAGAAATCTGATTCAAATTCCAAGTTGGGAATTCTCAATTCTTTCTGCAGTTCTAACACTCTTAATGCCCAACTAAGGGTCTTGGTTCCGCAGGTTCTTTCACTTGTAAATCTTATTTTCTCCATAAGATCCTTTCTAGTGTACATCATGATGGTCTTAGGCTTACAAAAAACGATTGAAATTTCAATAGCGAGAGAATTGACTATGGAAGAACTAAAAAACACATTTGGATTGCTCATATAACCAGGATTTTGTTCATTGTCCCTCACTTATATTGTTCTCTAATCGCTATCATATTCTAAATTGCATAAGCTTTAGAACTTTAATTATAATTTTTCCTTCTCCTCCCATGCTGATGCAAAACCACAATTTGTTAAAGGAAAAAAAAAATTCTTACTTTACATAGCAGTAAGTTACTCCGAGAAATCACAAGATGCTCTTTAACTTAACATTTAATGAATGAATACATATAATCAGTGTGTTCCTGAAAGTTGTATGGCATAAACAGACAGACAAAGTCATTTGACAACGAGAACATCTACAAAATTCAATAATAATATCATTCAAGCAAACAAAACTTGAGAAATTTGCATAGATGAGGGCAGGTATTATGGGTGTTTTCCCCATGTTCTAGAAGTGACGCATAAACCTCACAACAAAATGCAGAATATGAATGGAATTTAATAAGTAGACAACGAGACTAGATTAAAGATTACCTAATATTTTTGAGGATGATTTCTCATGATTCTCTTGTACAGCCTCCTTGCCATCATTAATAAGAGAAACTGTGGCACCATCACCCTGTTTGTCGGATGATTCACATAGAACTGGAGGCACACCAATTTCTTTTGTGCATTCCTGAATAACCTTAACATCTATTATTACTTGAGGTTCACCAATCTTTACAGCACCATCAGTCTCTACAATGTGCAGACAATCACTAGCCCTCTCACATAACAGTTGTCTAGAAGTATCAGAAGAATGATGTTTTTCAGATGCCGTAACAGGACAAGAAGCAGTTTCCTGTTCAGAAGACCCAGCAAGGGTAGATATGCCAGCTTCCTCATCTATTTTAACTGAAGATTCTTCCTTTTCCTCAGCGCAAGAAGACTCCACAGGAGTTATCCTTTGAAAATCACTGTGACCAGTAATTTCACGTCTGGAAACAACTTTGCTAGGAGGTGGAACGTCAATTATCTCACAGGATGTCAAACCAATATTTTCTGAAATAACTTGTGAAGCTAAAAAATAAAATGAAAAAAAAACCTTAAAGTTAGGAGCTATTATAAATTTGATCCTATCATATATTAAGTCAGCTTTCTTTTCTGAAGCAATCACATTAATTTAAATATGATCCACTATCAGCGGAGGACTTTTTACTCAATCAGCAAACAAGTAACTAAGGTTTTTCACATGTATTGCAAGATTTTATTAAATTTTCAAATAGGTGGCATCATATGGTTCATTAATAGTGGAGAACTTTTTAGACTGCCAGCAGTGTAAGATTAATTCTATTACAATATACCTGAATTATTGATAGGCGTGACATCTATTGATACTGTGGAAGTTGTCAACTCAGTTTCCATGCTACCTGCACTAAGAGATGATGAAACTACTCCCTTATCAACAAGATGGGATCCGTAAACATCACAATGCATTTGGCTAGAGTCACAAGGAATCTTTTTACTCTCTTGGTCATTTACAGAAATATCTTGATCAAATGTTTCATGGTCCCTCTGTCGGTCAGGTTCGTTGTTTTCGCATATTTGAGATGATTCACCCAAAATGGCAGATTTTGTTGAAGAAGCCGCCACACTGAAACTGGAAAACCCTCCAACCGTGTTGTCACTATTTCCTTCACTAACAGTAGAAATGTTATTTTCCTCAGCAGAAGACATAGATGCCTCTGACTTGCTTGATAAAATCTCTCTATCCATGTTGTCACTAGTATTAAATAACTCATTTTCCTTAGTAACACTGCTCTCACCATATGTCTTTTTGTCTATGACATCCACATTCTGCTGGAGATGAGGGGAAATCCCACAACTGGAGTTACTAACCTCAACCACCTGGCCCTCAGATATACAATCATCTTTGATTGAAGCTTTTGGTATTTCACGTGTATTTAGTGCAGATAGATCATCCATCACCACATCTTTAAGCAAGTTTACATCTTCACTTGCACTGTTCCGAGATGGATCGCTGAAACATACATCTTCACTGCATCTTTCTGCTTTCTGCAAGTCTGAAACAGCAACGGATTCCGTTCTCAAGGAATCCTCTAAACTACTTCCGCCAGTTTCAAGGCCTTCAACTACACTCCCCCCCTCCAAAGTTTCTTCAGTGGGGATTGAACAAAGAGATCTATCAGGATGATGTGCATCATCTGCAACTGCATTTCCATCCAGAGTCTGAATGTCAACAACAGCTTCTTCGTTCATCATAGAAGATTCCAAATCTTGATGAGGTGCATCACCTCCAACTGCATTTCCATCCAGTGTCTGAGTGTCTACAACAGCTTCTTTGTTCATCATAGAAGATTCCAAATCTTGATTATTAGTTTGTTTTTGTAAAGGACCTTGCTGCTCATCACCCATATTATTCACAGATGATTCAGTAATATTAGTTTGCACCACAAACGCAGATGAATCATCTTGAGTTTTGCCATGATGTGAGTCATCATCCACATTCTCAACTTCTCTTCGGTTTGTATCGTCATTTTTGTCATCAGTAAATAGAGTCGGACTCTCCTCAGACATAGGCAAGTCAATGTTTCTGCATATATCATTTAGTTCCATATTACCTGAATTTCCATCAATGGATAATTCACCTTCATGACCTTGGGACACTCCAGCCTGAGACTGCTCCATTCCTACATCCTCCTTTAATCCAGACAAATTTGCATGAGTACCACCAGGTGGCCGTAAATCTGTAACATTATCTTTAAATTCATTTGTATCATCAGGTTTTGGATTGGGGTCCATTTGCTTAGCTAAGCAGGCCAGTTCATCGCTGGCATCTGATTCCAGAATAACAGTTTGTCTAGGAATATACTCCTCCTGTCCAACAGATTTTAAAAGCATTTCAACAGATTCCGAGGAAGTGGCCTCGGACCAAACATTGTCATGCCTTGATATAGAGCAAGATTCAGCTGCAGTTGAACTAAACTCTATACCACTACCCCCCCGGGAGAATGCGTCAATCCAATGGTTATCTTCGTTACTTTCAATGCCAAGGAAAACTTCAGCTTCAACCAAACTATCAAATCTTAAATTAGGTTGAAGGCTTTCATCAAAATCAAACTTGGGTAGAGCATATGGCCTTAATACTGGAGGAAATTTGGTGCTACCTTCACCAGCTAAATGGAGATTCTGGCTTTGAAAATCATTGTCATCATAATCCATGGATGAATCCCTAATAATACAAATAAGCATATTAGAATAAGAGAAGCAACAAGAATAGTGAGCTTAAATATATGCATGCATAAACAGAAACACATACATAAAGACAAATATAAAAGCAGACACAGGCACACATAAGATCCACCATGTAGACATATGCATGCATCATCCAAGCATCAATGTGCACAGGGTACACAAACACACAGATGCACAAATACATAGAAATTCAATAATTTAAATTAAAAAATTGTTGGCTTGTTGATAACAAATTATCACCCACGTACAAAGCATAGAAACATAGAACCTCAATTTAACAAAACATGAAAAAATATTGTAAATTTAAAAATTATTTATTGCCGGTTACTTCAAAATCTCAAGCCCACTTGCAAATATGTACCTATTACCTATCATAGCTAGTAAAATAAAAACCAAATATCATATCACAAATAACTGAAGTTCCCCAATGGTAATATATATATCCAATTTACAACTGATGCACTTTGAAAGAGGGGCCAGAAGAGAGTAATGCCTTGAGTTTGTAGGCTGTCTAGTGATTTGGGTAATTGTTTTGAGAATACTATGCAGGGAAAAAAAATTGGATACGGTAAACCTAAATAATTGAAAGAGTCCAAGTTATTTTGATCTCATAAGTTCTACAGAAAGGTTAATCCTCAACGGCCGTAGAGTATAAGAAGGCTTCTTTGGCACAGTACCATAGTAGCAGTCAGCAGCTTCTTTATTAGACTTATCTTATTAAAAAAGATGGCAGGTTTAAGAATCGATACATCAAGCAATTCTTTAAAAATGAAAAATAATTTATAACTAAGTGAAGTGTGTTATTGTTTTGACTCGATTAAGAAAGCTACTTAATCAGCAGTACAATTGGAATACACTTCACATAGCACCAATCTTCTCAAAGTATTAAGCAAGCCCATCCCTTAACAAAACGTCCATATAAACCAACCAACCGAGTAATAATAAAAGAAAGAAAAAGAACAACAACTGAAACAGTTTACACACTAAGATTAACCACCTTGTTAAATTAAAAGGAGTCGTTGAACGATTCTTCTCTGCGTGAATTAGCCAATGGGAGTGGTTAGGAAGAAAGTAAACATTTTTCAAACAAAACTCACCATTTCAAAGCAAAGGAAGCAAAAGTTTTTGCCCTAATCACACAACAACAAAAATTAAGAACCCAAAGTCGGACATGAACAGTACCAGAACAAGTAAGTCTAAAGACGCTACCTCCCTCCATCCGGCGAGGAAATCCAACCCTTTTGATCTCAGCTATTCCCCAATCGTACTGTCATCTAATCCACCAAACACAAAAATCCCTTCGTCAGTGTAAATTTTCAGCACAGGAAAAAAAACAAAAAGGAACAGCAACAAGTTCAATTGAACCTCACCGGTTGATTCAAGTTCCGGCGGATCGAATAGGGTTCCGGCGAGAGTAATAAGGGGAAGCGGAAACAACACGAAGAGTGTGAAACTGATAGTTTACGAGTGGATTTGTTTTTCTTTTACTTTCCTTTTGTGTTGTTCTTCTTCTTTCCTTGGCTAAGGAAAAAGCACTCCACAATTTTGTTTTTTTCCTCAAGGAAGAGAAAATATATGTCAGCGATGGGAATCAAAATTGAAGGAAAAAAAAAAATGGGTTTTGTTTTGTAAATAGTCAAGATCCAACGGGTATAAACTATAAAGATCGAAGATGATCATTATGTGACACGTGGATGGTCTTGATTCGCTCATAGAAAGTACATACTATATAGGGTTAAGCACAAAACCGCTATCCGTGGAAAACAGCGTCACGTATACACGGCTGATTGGTTTTTTGAAGAGAGAAGGGCAAATAAGTCAAATAAATGTCCGATCAGATTCAGATGGTATAATCCAACGGCTGATAGAGGATTTAGATAAAATCGGTACTTAGGAGCGTGCAGCGAGACTGGTTTTTCTATTTCGTTCGTGTCATTAAATTATTTTAAATTAAATGCATAATAAAAATAAAAACTCTAACACGTGGCAAGGTAATTAGATTGATTTGTTAGCATAGTAATGGACCCTTGGATGCCCGTGGGCTGATTGACATCTCGTGCCATAAAATATTTTCGATGCTTTTTTGGGAATACTGATTATTTTGACATGCTTCATCAAATTATTTGTCAGACTGTCACATCAATAATAAAAATTCTAGAATGTCACGCGACATAAAACACTACACTATGTGGCGAATTATGATTGCTGATGTGGCACGTCTCAATTGGAAGAATAATTCGCTTCACAGTATAGCGAAATACGTGGTCAAAATATCAGAGTGCACAGTCAATAACACGACACGTGTCAAGCCAGCAGTAATTCGTTACACTGTGTAACGAATTATGCAAGATGATGTGGCAAAGGTCTGTTGGATGAGTAATTCGCTACACAGTGTAGCGAATTACTGCTGGCTTGACACGTATTCTGTTGCTGACTGTGCACTCTGATATTTTGACCACGTATTTCATTTCACAGTGTAGCAAATTATGTCGCGTGGCATTTCAAAAAAATTACTGTTAACATAACAGTCTGATAAATAATTTGGTGAAGCGTGATAAAATGGTCACTGTTCTCTCTCTTTGTATCGAAATTTTTATAAACTTTTTTATCAAATATAATAAAAAATAATATTTTTATATTTATTTTCACTCATGTCTCATATTTTTTATTTTTGAGCATGAAAACTCCTTGTGCAATCATTTTTTACATTGTTCAACTTAAAAAAATGGGATAATCGACTCTTATGTACACAATCAAGAAGTAGGGTGCACTGTGGAGCCCATTTTTTGATTGTGCCGTAGAAAACAATATTTGTTTCTTGCAACGAGACAATTATCCAAAAAAAACTATATTAAAGAGGATTGGTTCAATGGTTACATGTTTAATTTTATTTAAAAAAAAATTGGATTTAAGTCGTTATGAAAAAATGAGAACAATTCCTAACTCGAACAAAATTGTTTCAAGGATATATATGGTTTATCAAAAAAACAAAATTAAAAAAAAAAAAATGGAACCATATGGCAGCGTGCTATGCACAAGTTTACTATCACGTGGCAGTGTGCGACGCTAATAAATTTGTATAATTATTTAATTTAAAGAAATTTATCAATTGAATATATGGATATGATTATGTTTTATTTATTTTAATTGATTATGGAAACGAGGTATTAAATCTAATTAGCATGTGATGGATATTTAAATTATCCTGATGAATTTAAATTGATAAACTTTTATGTTAAAATAATTATTTTGCAGTGTGAGAGGTCAAATTATATTCACAAATTAAATTTTCCACCGAATTAATTCTTAGTGCCTGCTTGGGAAGTATTTATTTAATTTCTCTTCTCCAAAACAGGTTTTTACAAAAGTTTTTACAATAAAAAAAAATTATAATGAAGCAAAAACAAAGATTTATCAAAAAAATAGGTTGCTAATCAATTCCTCAATGTATATAAAAAAAAATTCATGACCAAGTGGTCACAAGTTTGATTTTCATCGCTCTCATTCTATTAAAAAATAACTAAATTGTATGGAGTTTCTTATCATAGATAGACAGAGCCCGATGAATTTTTTATTGTGTGAGGTGTGTGTTAGATAAATATATTATAAAATCATTTATGTACGAGCACCAAATAATCACACACATAAATCAACGACAACACAGAGAGAATAGAAGAAATAATAGAGTAACAGATTTACATTGATTCACCTAATGTGAGATATGTTCATCAATGTTTAACTATTTTATCCTCACCGAACTCATTACAAAGCACTATGCTTTCAAGAGGAATATAAATATGCTTAAAAATCCTAAGCAACAATAGTTATTCATGAGTCTAAGCTCAAACTACTAAAAAGAAAAATAAAATAAACCTGAGGTCCATTATAGTATCAAGCCTTTGTGGTCTCGGTGGCATTGCCCCCATACCCCTGCCGGGGCAGCTTCCCAAGACCCTCGTTTGCTTTCTCTACATCCCACCAACAAGAGTTATCATTTGAATGTGAAGTATGAGACATACCTAATATCCTAGTTGGAGGACATACCTAATATCCTAGTTGGAGAATGCTTCAGATATTTCTTTAATCTCAATGCAGTTGTACACCATTTAAACTTCTCTAAACTCTCTGTCTTGGTTTGAAAGTCAACATTGTTCACCTTAGTTTTAACTTTCTCTAGCAATACAATCTCATATTCTATCTTCTCTCTAATAAAGTAATACTATATGCCCATGTGCTTGACCCTTACATGGAAGTCTGGGTTTTAGCCAAGAAAATAATAATCTAACTATCACACTCAATAATCACCTCTTATTATGTAAAACCAAGCTTTTTACACAATCAGCGTAATTAAATAACCTTCTTGATAGCATGTGTCGAGGCCATGTACTCTGCCTCTATAGTAGATAAAGCAATCATGCTCTACCTCTTACTTATCCAGCTCACAAATTTGTCAAATAAGGGAACAACGTATCCAATCTTAGACCTTCTAATATCAACATCACCTCCCCAATCAGCATCCACAAAGCACTTAAACTCGAATGGTGACTGTCCGCTTGAGCCTTTCATGCCTTTGTAGAATAACTCAAAGTTAGATATACCACGAATATAACGGAACACATGCTTCACTATGATTCAATGCTATTTTTCTGATTTTGATATATACCTGCTCAATACTCTCTCTACTTGAGCAATATCAAGATGAGTACAAATTATAGCATATATCAAACTCTCATCTGCACTAGCATAAGGAACTAGCGTCATCTCTTTTTTTTCTACTTCATTATTGGGATAGTGATCAGTTAATAGCTTTAAATCTATAGATATGGGAGTCAATGTTGATTTGTTGTCAATCGTATTGAATTTCTTGAGAATATCCTCTATGTATTTCCGTTGACTCAATCACAACCTTCCTTTTTCACGCTCCTTCTTGACTTATATGCCCAATATCACATCTCCGAAGCCTAAATTTTTCATTTCAAATTGCTTTGTCGACGGTCATTTGATAATCTTGATAATCTTCAAAGTGTTCTAAGCAAGTAATATGTCTTCAACATATGAGGTTAGAATAACAAAGTCAATTTCTAACATTTTCAAATAAATACAATGATCAACATAGCAACAGTCAAAGCCAAGCTTCAACACATAAGTGTCAAACTTAAGGTACCACATCCCAAGGGACTGCTTCAGATCATACAAAAACTTATTCAGCTTGCAAAAATAAGTTCTCTTATCTCTTACTATGAACCCCTTTAGTTGCTTCATGTAAGTAGCCTCCTCCCAAATACCATAGAGGTATGTAGTGTTTACATTCAATTGCTCCACCTATAGATCACACGCAACTGCCACAGATAAACGAGTCTTATGAAATTCAACTTTGCACAGATAAAAACACCTCATCATAATCATTTCCTTCTGTTTAAGAATATTTATTTGCATCCAAGTAGGCCTTGCAATGCTCAATCTTCCTATCGTCTTCCTACTGTTTTTAAAAATTTTTAATTCATCATTTTAATTTTTTTACCAAATTAATTATATAAGTTGTTAAATTAATATAATATCTTCCTTACTCCGCACGTCTTCCCAAAGCTAATTTTATTATTGCCACCAACTTTGAAAAATTAATGAAATTAATATTGTAAGGAAAGTAATATTTAAAAAAATTAGAGTGTTAATTTAATATTTGAGACATTTTCTAATGTAAAAAAACTAATAGAGAGATTCGATAATTAAACAAGTTGGAGAATGAAAGTATGCTGTTGATTAATTATTTTTTTGTATAATATTAATAATTAATAACTCATTAACCATTAAATACTGTTTACTTTAGATAATTTTTTTGATAATTTTTTTGGCAAGTTAAAAAAATTATCAAATAAGTTTTATCAAACATATCTCTGTACAATTTGAAATTAAAACAAAGTTATATAATTTATTTCAAAATCCATTTCATTTGTTTATAGTCATTTTAAACTTCGATAGTTAGATAAATGTAAATGTCTTTAATAATTTTATTTAAATATGTACAACTATTTTAAATATGTATAATGTATTTAATAAAAAATTTAAATCAATAAAAGATGTTACTCAATAAATATTGTATTAATATATATATTTTTTTATTTAAGATTTGTATATATAATAAAATATTTTGATTTTTGTTTATTTTCAAAATTATATAAAAGTTTAAAAAATTTGAAAGGTGAAAATATAAAAAGTCAATAAAGATGTTACTGAAACATCCATAAAAATTAAGAAAAAATATATATTACTGAAACAAATATTTAGACCCAAAAAAGTTATTTTACGGACCTTACAATATTTTTACACAATCAATTGTTTTTCTCTGTTTTATTTATTTATTTATCTTTTACCTTTGCAACACGCGTCATTTTTTATTTTTATTTTGTTAAAATCAAGCACTTTTCTGATGTTGAACAACTCTAACCGTTCACATCTTACGGAAGTGCAACTTATTAAAAGCCATCATAATCAAATATCCCTACATATTCCAATCAATTGTCATTTTCGGTAGATCCCGACTCCCGTGTATAAACTGAATTTGCACATTTTACCACATAAATAAGAAGAGAAAATATTTTCTCATGTTGCATGAGAATTCAATTCTACCTTTTGATTTACGTGTAAAGTTTTTCTTTTCTTTCTCTTTTTAATAAATGTGGGACCCACCACTAGTTGAGTCACAACATGAGAATTGAATTATCATGCAACATGAGAAAATCAAACTCCAAATAAGAATCTCATCAAAATTTGAAAAGTTTTTTTTTTTTTTGGTTAAAGTTATTTTGTTAAAACTCTTCAAGTACTTGTTCATAAGTTTTTTCTTTCCGATAAAATAGACATAATCCGATGTAAAAAATAAATTGTGCTCCTGTGGATACTAGTCGCATTGCCTCTTTTGTCGAGGTTTTGAATGATTGTAGCATGATTGATCTAGGGAGTTATGGTCCCTTTTTTACCTGGAGAATGGAGAGGCCCTAAGTTTCTACACCTGGATCGAGTCTTTAAACGCCTTGACTGTGCAGGTGCAAATGGGCAATGGAGAATGGCGTATGAAGAAGCAGTAGTAAAGGTGCTGCCTAGAGTTACATCGGATCATAACCCTCTTTTAATCTCGCTCTTCAGTAGAAGGGATAAGTGGGAGGAATGACCTTTCCAATTTTTTCCAGCTTGGCTTGATCATCCAGGTTTTAACCAAGTTCTGTCAAAACAATGGAAGAATGATGCGCACACCAATTGTAATTTGATGGAACTTACTCCAGTCCTTAAGGATTGGAATAGGAAATCTTTTGGTAATATTGATTATTGAGTATAGGAAGAACAAAGTTCTCAATCGGTTGCATGGTATCCAGGTGAGGTTAGATGCTTGTCCCAACCGTTACTTAGAGAGACTTGAGCAGAAGCTAATGAGAGAGCTTGAAATTATCTTGGAGCAAGAAGAGCAATTGTGGTATCAGAAGGCCAGAACTGCTTGGATTGTTGACAGAGATCGAAATACGAAATATTACCATGCTTTTACAGTAACGAGGAGGCGTAAAAGCAGAATTACAACTCTTAAAAATGAAGCAGGTGTGTGGTTAAGGGATGAAGAGGCTATCCGTAGAATGGTGACTCAATTCTAGCAAGTTCTCTTTTCAGAAGAGGTGCAGGAAAGGCCTTGGGAACAAACTTTGGTTACTTGGCCGAAACTGGAGGATCATGAAGTCAGAGCATTAGGAAGACCATTTGTACATGCTGATATTAAAGCATCATTTTTTCAAATGGGAGCCCATAAAGCTCCTAGTCCTGATGGATATCCAGCGGCGTTCTTCCAGAAGAGTTGGAGTTTGGTGGGTAATAGGGTGTGTGAAGATATTCAAGATTGCATTCGTCATACTGATAAAATTAGAAGTATAAATGAGGCCTTTATTGTGCTTATTCCGAAGGTACTAAAGCCAGAAAAAAATGGGGCAACTAAGACTAATTTCTCTCTGCAATGTGTTCTATAAAGCAATAACTAAGATGCTTGTCAACAGATTGAAACCTATCATGAGTAAGCTAATTTCTCTGTTTCAATCTAGTTTTGTTCCAGGTCATGTTATACATGACAATGTGATTATTTCTAGTGAAATGACTCGATCCATGAGAAGATTAACGGGGAAGAAAGCATATGTCTATAAAGATTGACCTAGAAAAGGCTTATGATAGGCTTAGTTGGCAATTCATTTGCAGTGTTCTTCAAGAAACTGGCCTTCCGAGATTATGGATATTATCATGACTTGTATCTCTTCCACTCAGTTTCAAGTTTTTTGGAATGGATCAAAATCAGATAAATTTGTGCCATCGAGGGGCATCAGACAAAGGGACCCCATCTTACCCTATGTCTTTGTGTTATGTATGGAAAAACTTACTCATCTTATTGCTGAGGAAGTTAGAAGTAAAAGGTGGAAACCCATTAAGGCAAGGAGATGTGGCCCATGTGTCTCACACCTCATGTTTACAGATGATTTGGTGCTATTTGGAGAAGCATCACTGTCTCATCTAGAGGTGATTCAGAGTTGTCTCAGCAATTTTTGTGCTATGTCCGGACAAAAGGTTAGCATGGAAAAAAACAATTATTTATTTCTCCAAGAATACATGTGAAGGTATTAAACAAGATATTCTCAAAGCTAGTGGGTTTCACCAGGCTAACTTTTTGGGTAGGTATCTTGGTGCGATGCTGAATCATAGGCGTGGAAGGAAGCATAATTATGATGGAGTTTTAGATAAAGTTAGACAACGCCTTGCAGGATGGAAACGCCAATATCTTTCTTTTGCAGGGAGGGTTACATTAGCTAATTCTGTATTGAGTACGATTCTCATGTATCATATGCAACATGATGTGATTCCTTCTTCAATTTGTAATGAATTAGAGAAGATTCAAAGAGGTTTTATTTGGGGGGATTCGGATCTTAAGAAGAAAGATCATCTTGTGTCTTGGGGGCAGATTTGTCGTCCTAAGAGTTTGGGGGGACTAGGTGTGCGTAAGATTTAAGTTCAAAATGAAGCTTTTCTCATGAAGTTAGTTTGGAGAATGTTGAGTCAACCGAATGACTTATGGGCTCAGGTCTTGATTGGTAAGAATGGGAGGGGCTTGGACTTAAAGTGGCAGGCTTGCACCCGCTGTTCCAATGAGGGGGTATCCTTCGGGCCGTACTCCGAGGACAAGGTGACCAGAGGAAGTTGAATGGGGATACCCTCCAAGTTATACCAAAAAAAATGTGGCAGGCTTGCAGTAAGCAAAGTGACTCATCTCTTTGGAAGGGATTAGTTAGAATATGGGATGATACTCTGGATGGTATGTGATGGAGGATTGGTAATGGTAGAGACATTCTTTTCTGGAAAGATCGTTGGACAAAGTTAGATCAACCTCTACAGAATTTAGTTGATGGTAGATTGGATCAAGCTGAGATTATTGCCAAACCTGCTGACTTGATGGATGAAAGCACAAGCATGTGGAATTGGGAATATCTTAACTCGAAGTTTCCTAAGGAAGCTCTCAACCAAATAAGATCGTTCGTCACTCCTTATCCTGAAAAAGGGTCTGATGTCTTGGCCTGGGGTAGGAAAGGTTGTGAGAAGTCAATTGTTAGTGCTGCCTACTATAAGAAAATGGAATTTGACGGCATGATTAATGATCCTATTTGGAAATTTATTCGGAGCTGGATTGGCCCGCCTCGAATAAGCTCTTTCATGTGGTTACTGGTGCATGAGTGTTTGCTTACAAATGAGCTTATCTCGAAGTGGGGTGGGGCTCCCTTCTGTCCGAATTTCCCTAATAAAGTGGAAGATGCTTTACATGTTATGCGTGATTGTTTACACGCTAAAAACCTCTGGACGGATTGGTTGGGGCAAGGGACACTAATGAGTTTTACTCCTCATCACTACAACAGTGGATTAGGAGCAATCTGGAAAGGAAATGGCATCATGTATAAGCGCTTGACTGAAGGGACATTTTTATGGTTTCTTATTGGTTTCTCTGGAAGTGGAGGAATAACTCTATTCATGACAATGATTTTGTCGCCTTTCTAATTCAGGTATGGTGATCTCTTTGTATATTTCCTAGATGAAATCGGGGTTCCTTTTAAATACTAGAGGAAAGCCTACTCGTGCGAAACACAACCCATTTTGGAAACCACCTCAGATAGGGTGGTGGAAGTTGAATGTGGATGTTGCAGTGTGTCTTCATTCAATAGTGCTGCTTATGGTGGTTTGATTAGAGATGAGAAAGGTAATCGGATTATAGGATTCACCTACCAAATTGGTGTTTGTTCCTCTCTAATAGCTGAGTGTTGGACTATTATTAAAGGCCTGGAGGTAGCTTGGCGGACGAAGGCTACGCAGGTTGAGGTTGAAAGTGATTCTAGTATGGTTGTTCAACTTGTTACAGGTCAGATTAAAAACAATTCCCTTCAAAGCCTAGTTCACGAAATGCAGAGCTGGAGTCATAATAGTTGGAGTCTGAAATTTAATCATGGTAGCAGAGATTCAAATTGTTGTGCTGATTGGATGGCTTCCTTTGCTTTCAAAAGGAACCAATATTTAGAATTGTTTTCATCAGTTCCAAACGGCTTACAGTTGCTGGTGGAGTCTATAGACTAGGTTTACTTTAGTTATTTTGTTGTTTTGTTTTGGGTTGTGCCCTCATTATCTACTAAAAAAATAAATAATAATAATAATAAATAAATTGTATGGTAAAATATAAATTAAACGATCAGTACTTAATTTTTGGTGAAGTGGAAAGAAAGGAAAGGGAAAACAATGATCTAATGCAAATACATGAGGCCATTAGCATTAGAAAGCAGAACCCAAACCGTGGGGAGAGCACTCCAAATCTTTATATTCTCAGCATCATTAACATCCATTTTAGTCATGAAATTAGCTTCCCGGAATACGTGCTCAACCCGCACAGTTCACAACCTCTGCATAATCTTAATAATTTCCGCATTAATCATTGCATAGATATGGTTTAGCACCAATTCAGAGGAAATTAACCTGGCAGCATCCCTAACATCAGTCTCATACACCTCTTCCCCGTAGCCCATCTCCCAAACTAAGGCAAGACCATCTTTGAAATAGAACGATTAGGACTGAAATTTAATTATGAAATTGAGCAATTCTCAGAATTTGACGATATTTAAGCTAACAGTCTTGAAAATTCACAAGTTGTTTTGGTAAGCTTGGAAATGACATTTAGCAAAGGTCGAAACCATACTTTTTTTATTAGAATATTTACATTGTATGTTCTAAATAGAAAAGTAAATTCATATGTTCTCATTCAGTTTTAAGTCTCGACAACATAAACATTTAGCATATAGTTTGGAATGAATGATTTGAGGTGTGCAAATTAAAGTTTTAAATTAGGGTCAAACTACGATTTAAACATGCTAATTATTGTAAGGTGTGCGGCTAGATTTATCAAAATATTTTTAGAGTATGTTATCTAAGGCAAGCAAAGATCATAACGTATAATTAACTTCCTCGCTTCCTCAAACCAGCTATGCTCCATGGCTAATAAGAACCTCTTCAGAGCAACCATGGTGTGTCTATTAGATCCTTTGAGAACATGTACCTGAACCTAGAATTGTAAGGCAGCCATTCTATGATCTGAAATGACTTTTTGTTGGATTTACGATCAAGGCACTTCTGTATTGAATCATGCAGTTTCTCGTCAACACTTTCCATGATCCATCCAAGGAGATCATCTATGCTGATTGATGCTTCTCTAGAAAATCTTTCCACCAATTTAGGGAGAAAAACTTTACTTGACTTCTTTACAACTACATTTGCTTGAAGAAACTCTCTCTTAGCAACATTCAGCTCTTCCCTTACATTTGATGCTGAGTAAACTTTTAGCTGCAGCATTGTAACAAAAAAATTATAGATCAACTCTTGAAAATCAGGGTATCAGATAGCAGGGAGAATTATGGATGCAAATGTAAATATCATACCCCATATTTTTTAAAATTTCTCATATTTACTTCATATCCGTGTTTCATCAATGCATCAACATTGAAATAAATGCAGACTCAAATAAGAGTAAAGTCCTACACAACTAACATCACATTTTCCCAGTGATATTCAAAATGCAATTTCATGAAAAAAAGTAAATGAGAGAAAAATTACCGCAGGATCTGACAATGCTCCAGTGCAAAGGGCAAAGCAGACAAGGGGCTCGGAATCTGTAATACCCAATTTTGAGTTGATAAGCCGTCTTTCTTCACCACTTTTCTTCCTCAGTGCAGCGGACACAATGCTTTCAAGCCACTGCGTTTGATAAAACAGAAATAATAATCAGATGAAAAATGAGATGCCATCCTAGTCCTAGCATCAAAATTCGGTGTGAAAGTTTGCTTCAAATTCTGTTAAAAAAGAAAAAAGAAATGACAGTATAATATCAAAAAAGAATTAAGGGCCTGAAAGTCTAACTATCTCACTCACCAAAAAAAAAAAAAATCATATTAAAACTATCTTGTACAGTTGTAGTCTTTTCATTCAACCATTACAGTGGAGAAGCAAACTCTATAAGTTTAAAAGACCATGGGTAATTATTAAATCATAGCTGTGCCTGTGCAATACCAATTTAATGATGCCACACAATCAAATGGATACAATAATGTCTTTCTGGAGCAACATAGGATTGCAAGCAGCAGATGCAAATCATGGGAAGAATCAGTGATTTGCAACCCTCAGCAGGCCAAAACAGAAAAATATATTTAGAGTTGGACTATTGGACCGAACAATATATTCCACCATTAGAAAGAATGCATCCATAAACCTGACAACACTTCGCATATATTTAGAGTTGTCCATGTTTTTACATGAGAGTCAGGTGAGTACCCGTCCAATGCGGGGTGTTCGGAAGCAAAATATCGCTTGTTCTATGGTATTAGCACTTATGATATGACCGCCAATGTTGTATGCAGCCTGCACTACACAATTCTACTCATCAATTCATATTGTGCATGATGTATCTATAAAAAAATGATGTTATCAAGAATAAAATTGTACCAATGAGAAAAATGGAAGAGCTAAAAGCATATGACTACGATATTAAATGTTAAAAGTATATTACTTCTGAACAGCGTCTAAATGTCCTACAAATGGCATGGCAATTTTACATTACATGCCTTTTGGTGATTTAAGTCATGCAAATGCCAACAACTATTTAAGAGAAGGTGCAAGAGATAAGGGGGATTGGGGTACAGAGGAAGACTTTAGTTGTTGTTCCCTGAAAACGTGTGGCAGTTTCTTTATAATTTGATGGATTCAAAAAGTCAATGCTAATGAATTGGTTATGGTTCCTCGTCTGGGCATCACAGAAGACAAAGACTGGCTTGTGGAGAGGGCTCTGGGGAAAGTATAACCCTTCCAAAGATGCAAAAACATTCTTAAGGTGTCAGATAATCTCTGCATCTAAAGTTTCCCAGATCATTTAAAACCATAGAGATTTTGCTTCAAACAGATGGACAATATACAATCGAATAAAGAAATAAACTACCTTGTGAAACAAGGCCAACCTCCTGAGAGAGCCCTGGGGAATTCCATATGCCAAATATGCCTGTCAACAGAAAAAGATGTTAAATGTGCTGAAAATTGGTAAGTCAATTCAGCACCGGTCATGTGAGCGTGAATCTTACATGCATCACAAGAGCATTATGCACATTGATCCAGAACGCAATTTGTCCATCACGTTCGATTTGACTGATATTCACCCTTTCAAGTTGTTCAACTAGAACTCTAAAGGAAAAGAGATAAAGAGCGTGTTAAGACAACAATTCAATCAAGAGAAATCTAGGTCATGCTTGAACAAGTACGAATAAAACTAGAACTGAAATTTCCTTCCCCTGGGGTGGGCTATCAGCTACATAGATTGATCAATGTTATTGTGTCCTGTCAAAAATCACGTTTCTAGAAATGCCATTTAAATGAAGGTTTTTTAATGGTTTCTTTTAGAATTTTCACTTGTCTTTCTCTATCTCTAATTCATTGTTTATGGTTTTTCATCACATAACCAAATCATATTGGGCGAGATTCTGTCATATTTTCCATAAACAACATCGGAGTAAATTAGAGCCTAGAGCCTTTAAATGTGTCTTCCTTGGTTATGCTCCCAACAAGAAAGGATACAAATGTTACCACCCTCCAAGTCGTAAATTCTTTGTCTCTATGAATGTTAGCTTCCATGAATCTGAGTCTTACTTTCTACACCCTCAGCTTCAGGGAGAGAATAGTGTAGAAGCTTCATCCATTTTTTTCAAGTCTGAGTCTCCCTTTCTGTTACCTACATCTTCTACTCCAGTAGTTACACTAAATGACAATGAGAAGGAAGACTTAATTGCTGAGGTTGAAAATTCATCTGATTCCTCATGTGACATGCCTCCTATTGATAGACAGAAAGTACGCAAAGCTGGGACACTTGAACTATTGTACCAAAGGAAGAAATAACCCACACTGCCCCATCAGCAACTGCAATCGCCTGAACCGCTAGTAAGTACTGAACACACTACTTCTTTTATTCCTGAGCCTGATATTAATTCTAATGACTTACCCATTGCTATAAGAAAAGGGAAAAGGTCTTGTACCCAACACCCTATTTCTCATTTTGTCTCCTCTAAGAATCTTTCTCTGCAGCATAGAAGTTTTATTACAACACTTGACTCCATTTCAATCCCGAAATCAGTACATGAAGCATTAAAGGATGATTATTGGGTTCAAGCCATGAATGAGGAGATGAATGCATTGGAGAAGAATAATACATGGGAAGTTGTTGGCAGGCCAAATGGAAAAAGGACAGTAGAGTGTAGATGGGTGTATACACCGAAGTATAATTCTGATGAGACTCTTGAGAGGTATAAAGCTCGATTGGTAGCCAAGGGATATACACAGACCTATGGCATTGATTACGAAGAAACATTTGCTCCAATGGCCAAAATGAACACTGTAAGAGTTCTATTGTCCCTCGCTGCTCATTTTAGCTGGGATTTGAACCAATTTGATGTGAAAAATGCCTTCCTCAATGGTGAATTAGAAGAGGAGGTTTACATGGAGATTCCACCAAGATTTAACTCTACAAATGGAGATAATAAAGTTTGCAGGTTAAAGAAGGCGTTGTATGGTTTGAAGCAATCCCCGCGTGCTTGGTTTGGAAGATTTACCAAAGTCATGCTTTCATTGGGATACGAGCAAAGCCAAGGGGATCATACACTTTTCTTTAAACATTCTCAGGAAGGTAAGGCCACTATCCTTCTAGTTTATGTTGATGACATTATTATAACAGGGGATGATATAGGTGAGAAATGTGCTCTGGAAAAAAGATTGACTACTGAATTTGAAGTTAAAGATCTTGGAAATCTGAGATATTTTCTTGGGATAGAAGTTGCTCATTCAAAGCAAGGGATATTTATTTGTCAAAGGAAGTATGTTCTTGACCTCCTTAAAGAAGCAGGAAAACTTGGGTGTAAACCTTCTAATACTCCGATTGAGCAGAATCACAGACTAGGAAGTGAAAATGAGAGCTCTCCAATTGACAAAGGACAATATCAACGAATAGTGGGCAAATTGATATATCTAGCTTATACTAGACCTGATCTAGCTTATGCAGTTAGTGTTGTTAGTCAATTTATGCATGATCCGAGGGAGAAACACTTGCGAGCTGTGGACGGGATTCTCCAATATCTGAAAGGCACACTAGGTAGAGGACTATTGTTCCAGAGAGGAGGAAACTTATCCTTAGAAGTTTATACAGACGCCGATTATGCTGGATCTGTGACTGACCGACGGTTTACTTCGGGCTATTGTATGTTTCTCTGTGGAAATCTTATAACATGGAGAAGTAAAAAGCAAAATGTGGTTGCTAGATCAAGTGCAGAAACAGAATTTCGAGCTATGGCTCAAGGTATCTGTGAGTTATTATTGCTGAAAATCATTCTAGATGATCTCAAAGTGAGATATGAAGGATCTATGAAGTTACTTTGTGATAACAAGTCAGCTATTTGTATAGCCCACAATCCAGTTCAACACGATCGAACCAAACATATTGAGATTGATCGCCACTTCATCAAAGAGAAATTAGACAGTGGACTGATCACTACTCCATATGTTCCTTCTGGTCGTCAATTGGCTGATGTCTTAACCAAGGGTCTTCCTAATGATAGATTTCAAGAACTTACTACCAAGTTGGGAATGATAAATATCCATTCCTCAGCTTGAGTGGAAGTATTGTAAATAATAGAATTATTTTATTATTATTTTGTAATAGTTAGAATACTCTACAAATGTATTTGGGCTTAGCCCATTAGGTTTTTTAGTCTCTTTAAATAGAGAACTCTTGTACAAATATTATACAATTCAATTATATGCAAATCTTCTTTTCTAGTATTTCACTCATAGCCAATAAAAGAGAGGTCTACCAGTTAACAATCAAGAATATTGAAGAAAATCTGAACTATCCTCTTACAGCCTTCAAAATCCTTTGCACAGGATAGAAACCCTAATTTAAAAACAAATCCTACTTAAAAAAAATCTAATACCACCCGTCAAAGGCAGCTTGAACAAACAAAACGTAAACTAACACTTGCACCAGTGCAGTTGTGTTAATAGTGCCATCTACAGGGTGCCAACATTTACGTATAATTGGCTTACTGGTCCTGCGTCGTAGAATGTGAAGATGCATAGATCAAACTATTCAGGATTGTCAGTAGCTTTTTTCCTAGAAGGCATGCACTAGGTCTAGGTGTATTGGACTGGTCATCTCTTGGAAGGCCAAGCTAGTCTGTATCTCGGCTTTTTTACCATTGTGCCCCTTAATATATTAAAAATTATCACTATGCCCCCGTATCAAAACATATCACCCATCTGCCCTTGTTTAACAGCTGACCGAGTTATATACTCGAGTATAGCACCCTGATACTCGAGTATTCTTCTCAAAACAGTGTATTAGTGGAATACTCAAGTACATGATGTGGTGCTCGAATATTATGCACGACCTGGGTTTTTTTATGAAACCCTCGTATCATACATTCCTAATTATTACATAATCCGAGTATTAAGCTTTGGGCATGAATTTCTTGAAGATAAAAGACAATACAAGACTTTACCAACATTACTTTCTCTCTCTAGGGTTCGTCAATGGTGGCATCTCCCTGGCAACGGGAAGGACAATGGTGGACTCTTGTCCTTGTCAATCTCCACAACGTACTCGCTCATCTCGCCAACATCTTCTCTAGTACATATACGTCCTTTAGAGATAGCAACACCTTCATGTTCGTTTTTTGTATAAATGATCTTTGTACTTTTGATTTCTCCCTTGTTTTCCATTAATTTCTTTGTTCCCAAATAGGTCAGTATCTTTTTTTAGTTGGATTTTCTCGAGATCTATGCTTTAGTTGAAACACTAATTTTGTTTAGAAACTTTTTGTCTATTTCAGATTTTGCTCTTATTTGATTCAATATCTCTAGGCACAAAGGGATTATGTGGCAAATTGTATTAGCTCCATCATTCCAGGAGATATCTATTAAATACTATACTGTGAAAGCTACTTCTACTGAGTCGGTTACAATTTTTGTTTGCAAACTTTCTTGTCCATCTAAACATAATAGAATATAGGTTCCTCTTTACACTGCTGCAATGCTACTGTTGCAGCCACTTCAAGTCGCGAGGCACGTGAAGTGGGGCTGTTTTCAATGTCTTGCGATTCGCTTGGGGCTTCTGCAAATAATATACTCGAGTATATGAAATACTCGAGTAAATAATGACATACTCGAGTATTAGAGTTATGTACTCAAGTATAAATGTATGAGACATGCTTGAGCTTCATCCCACAAAGATTACTCGAGTATATGGGTTAGGTACTCAAGTATGATGACTAGTCAATGGTCAAACAAGGGCAGATTGGTGTTACGTTTAGTGGAAATGTCAAATTTTTTAAATAGTTTAAAAATGGGGGTATAGTGGTAATTTCCAATATTTTAAGGGACACAATGGTCAAAAAGTCCTGTATCTCAAATATGACAGATGGATTCAAAGGAATCATATATAGAATCTGAGAAAAAACCTAGAAGACTTTAATGACAAATTCTGTGAAATTTAAAAAGACTTTAGAAGCTGATGAAAGCCTCCTAGTAGTCTGACTTTCATTTTTGAACTGAAGTACTCTTAATATAAATCACAGAATACTAAACTGTATTAACAATACTTTAGATGTACAAAGAGAATTGCCAGTCAAAAAAAAATGACCAGAAAAGAATTGTACACATCGCAATAAATATACAATAGTAGGTAATTATGAATAACTCATGCTAAGGTTACCAAATAACTATTAGTTGTCAAATTTCTAATTTTCCAAACAAGGAAATAATTTCAAGGTAGCTATCCAAGATTCTTTATAGACGAACCTAAAAAAAATTATTGAACTTTGGTACTCATATCCTTAATATCTTTTTGAAATTATCATATTTAAAAAACCAACCTGTAGTTGTCGATGGCATAAGAAGCATGAGAAGAATGACGTTTACGAGTAGCTATCCAAGATATTTCCACTGCTGATTTGCAAGTACAGTCTCGATTCTCTCCAACATCATGTCCAGGCGGTATAGCATTAGTGGATGACCTTGACAATAAAGGTGATCTGCTCTTTTCAGTATTCACAGAAGTTGCACTTCGAAGCCAGCAATATACAGTTGCCATACACCTCACCATCTCCTCAGAAAGCCTACTTGGACACTGGTATAGATGGTCCTTTAAAGTTCGCAATACTGGAGTTTTCTCCATTCTAGAAATCCTCTCACGAACCTGGCGTATGATTGAGGTGACAATGTTAGGAGAAACATCAGAAGAGCATAGTATTCTAGTTCCATTTTAGTATACTAGTATATATCAATCATTTTTTTTTTAATCTCTAGCAAAAACAAAGGAATCGAGCTACTAAAACTCGATAGCAATATATCCTACCTTGGTGGAATCAGTACAAGTCTTTCCAAAATAAACTTTGCCTTTGCTACTTGATAAAGGAGCATGACTTGACCCAAAGATTCTATTCCTCAATTCATTGTTAGAAATCATAGCTTGCAGGGGTCGCAGGGGGAACTTTTTTGATGAACAAAAAGCACTTGATATTATACTTGGATGCTTCCTGGATTCATGCCTTGTATGAGCTGGTGAAGCCGCACCAGAATTTTGTTCAGAAGATGACTGGCTAACACACTGTTCAAAAATACTCCTGTACATAGCAAGCACATGCTGCTCACGGCTTGTAACCTCTTCTTCAAGTAACTCAATTTCAGCAATTAAGTCTTTTGTCTAAGAAGGGAAAAAAAGAAGAAATAGTTAATTTCCACAAAACAAATACTTAATGGCCATAGCTTACTGCTCACGAGAAATATTACATTGTGCATTATGCATGCAAATCAAAATTTTCAATTGAAGAGTCCCCTTATGCTTATCATCAAGCTACAATAATGTACATGAGAATCAACTCCTCTGGTCCTTACACTTCATAGTTGTAAATGTCTTATTCTATGTTGAGTCAAGTTTATGCAAACTTAAACGCTTTAGTAGGTAATTCCATGCAATCAAACTTCTGTAACAAGACTATACAAACAAAAGACTGCATAAGATAGTAGTCAATAACCAAATTAAACTTTAAACTTAAGCTGTTTGGTGGCTCCCAAGAATGGTTTATATCTCTACCATGCCCACCCATATCTTGACAGCTTAAAAATATGAACAGGGCCAGGCTCATTGCTTGAGTGGCAAATATCAAATTACCTGAGCAGCAAAGTGCCTGTGTCCGGGTGATAAAGTGCTTGAGGCTCGACCCATTGCTCCCTCGAGCAGGATACGCATAGATTTCTCCTGCTGTAGGCGTAACTGTAGCTGCTCAACCTGCAAATCAGTATATGACTCGGGACATCAATCAAATATTAAGGTATGGATATTGTACAGGAAAATAAGAACCTCCACTATCTGAAGTTGTTTTTTCAGAATTTAAATCCCTGCATGTTTCTTCCCATATATTTTCATGGAAGAAATAAAATACATAAGGTGCAACTCCCAAAAAGAGGAACAATTTGGTTTCTTAAAATTGGCTTATTTTCATATGATTATTTTCTACAATGTTTTTCATTGTCATTTGTTGATCTTAAGATGCTTCTAAAAATCTACATTATTGACAATGGTCGTTCCAGGAATTGCCTCTCTGATCCCACAATATAGTGATTTCAAAACTTTTTTATCCTGTGAAAAGAGTATGCCAAATTGATTCTATGAAACACGTAACTTTATATCAATAATTTCCAAGATGATATAATCAAATTCTTCCCCTTTTTAAAGAGGCTTCTTCAAGGTATACTTCCAGTGTAATTGGAAACCCATTGTTTGTTCGTTTCCCACGCACCCCCCCCCCCCCCCCCCCCCCCCCCTTCTAAATTAAAATTCCACTATGCATTAAAACTTAAAAAACAATAACTCAATTTTCGCAATCAATTTTATTGGGGGACAGAAGAGAAAACCAAGAAGCAACACAGACTCATTTTGAGTCATCTCAGCATGTGGGAAGTTAAACAGAATTGTTCACAAGAAATATTAAGTTACAAATCTAGATATGCAGAGAAAAGTTCCCTTGGAACGCCAAACCAAAATGAAAGGAGTCATTACATCCAAATATAGCTTACATCTTTTTCCAAGGATGCTCTATGACCTGAAAAATTATTCTTGTTCATACAAGTGACGTTGCCATGCAACGGACTTTGTAACCTAGAAGCCCTCACTGAAGGCGGTGATTCCTGTTCAAGTCAAGGCAAAACCAGTGAATTATCTTGGGTGTTGGGTCACATTCAATATTATAATACAAGGCCTACACAGTGCATTTGAAGTGAAAGGTCAAATTTATATTGTAATCTCACAACTTACAAGAGATTCATCCTGGTCTTTCTCTATAGAATGCAGAACTCCACCTCTTGAGAATTTCGGGTTCCTGTCAGAAGCACTGAAAAGTGCACAAAAAAGCACATGCTATATCACAAAATGAAGCAGCTGAAGATGATAGCTGCAAGTCGTCTAAAAAAATTAAGATTCAACATTCACAATAAAACCTTATTAACACAGTCTAGAAAGTATCCCAGACCAACTTTTCCAAATTGTTATTTCAGTGATATAGTCAATCAGAGCCTATCATCCACTCCAGTTTTCATATCTCACAACGTTCTTGAATTCAAGAGAGATAAAAAAAAAATAATTAAATTTTAACCGAAGAAGCCAAATAAGCAGAGCACAAAGTGCGAAAATTTTCACAGAAATGGACAGGAATTCACTAACCAATTAAAAATATATATAATGAATACATTGTTTACATAACGTTATTAAGCTATCTCAATGGAAGAAACCGACAACAACAACAACCAAAACGAGCCATGACTGAATTTCAATTAAAAAAAAAAAAAAACCTGTTAGAGCGCCTATGTCGAATTCGTACACGAGAATCTGCGTTCTCACCATATCCACCTTCTTCTGCATCACCGTTTTTTTCAAATACATGATGAAACTCACCCATCATTAGTTCTTAACTATTCTAGAAACCCCATTCGCATTCTTCTTCTATGAAGACTATAACACGTACTCTACAGCACTAGAGACTGAGTTTGAACTTCACATAAATGGAAGGGAGAGTGTGGGCCTCAAATAATTGAATATAAGCAAGCTTTCACTTGAAGATTTGAAAAAATAAAATACAAATAAAAAAAAATAAAAAAATGAAAATGTAATTTCGCAGAGAAGCAGAAGAATGTGAATCGAAATAAATATCAGTAGTTACCGAAAGACTGCGGTAATCAGACAAGGTAGCTGCTGTTGTTGCAATTGAATTCGAAGAGCATTGGGTTGTTGAGCGCATTCAATATTGCGATTTAATTCATGTACTGATCAAAACCCACTCTCTCTCTCACACACACATGACTTTGGTAATGGTGAGTACTGGCAACAACGCAGACTCACTGATCCGTTCAGACTTTAACACAAACACTTTGATTTTGAAACGGAATTATTGGTTTCCGTTGATTCTGGTCCGTTTGATTCACCCGCCAAGCCAATGTGTGTGCCTTTGCCCTTTCAAACAATGTTTTCCCACTTTTTTTCTTTCTGAACCCCACTAGCTTAAAATGTTAATTTTCAAGGGTTTGAAAACATTTATGTATTTATATTTCTCCGTTATTTAAATTTTTAATGCTCTTTTCATCAATTTCTTTATTGTTTTACAGGGTATTAGTTTCTGTAATTTATTTACTAAAGTAATAGTTTATAAAGAATTAGAACCTCAATAACAGTATTTCCAAAAAAAAAAAGAACCTCAATAACATTAAATTAGGAGATAAATTTTATCTGCTATACACCCATAAAAATATATGAGACCTATGCGGCCTGTATGAAGAGAGAAAAAGAGAAAATATGGATCACACACACTTTTATATGTGTGTAGGAGATAAATTTCTCTCATATCTCATACAACATGAGAAACAATAAACTATATATATATATATATATATATATAGAGAGAGAGAGAGAGAGGGGCATGATATACTTACCACAAAAATTTTTTACCATCTTTACAACCAACCTAATCACCATTGATTTTCATCAATCTAATGATTATAATTTATTAAAAATAATAATTAATTCATAAATACGACCCAATAATTTTCAATAAATTATAAATGTTAGATTGACGAAAATCAATGGTAATTAGGTTAGTTGTAAAGGTTGTAAATTTTTTTGGTGGTAAGTATATCATTCTCATATATATATATATATATATATATATATATATATATATATATATATATATATATGAGATTGTTTTTCTCATTTAATATGAGAGAAAAACAACCTCCTACACACACATATGGAAGATAGAGGAGAGAGAATAAGGGAGAGAGAGAATTTAAAGTGGAGCCCACATCCAATTTGTATCTAGTGCATGAGATAATTATCTCATGCAACATGAGATAATTTTTTTCTATATATATATATATATATATATATATATATATATATATATATATATAGGGAAATAATCTGTTTACAAATTTTTGCAAATTACATTATGTACTATCGGGAGAACATAGTGTAACCTAGTGTTCTCCCGGTAGTACATAGTGTAGTTTGTAAACAAAAAGTTTGTAAATATAACCATTCTCATATATATAATATATAAGTTTATTATTTTTTATGTCACATGACATGAAGTTATGCCGTGTCACCCTAAAACTCATTTTTGGAGTTAGAGAATTTTTTTTTTTTTGGTATGCGAAGTTAGAGAAGTTAACGAAGGGTGTTTTGCTATTTTTGTTTGTTTATTTATTGGAAAAAGTGTTTGTTATTTTTTTTTTTTTGGTACATAAGTGTTTGTCATTTTAAATGATACAAAGTTATGTCATTTTAAGAGAGAGATAGACAAAAAAAAATTATTTAAATTTTAAATTAAAAAAAACACTCAATTTCTCTCTCATGATTTTCATGTCTTGTGTCTATCTCTCTATTAATATGACATAACTTATGTCATTTAAAATGACAAATACCAAACCCTTATTTAGTATATGAATTCTACAAAAATACCATTCATTAATTTTCCAAACTCTCAAAACAATATAATTTTGGGGTATATGACATGACAAATGATAAACCCTTTATATATATAGGAAAATATAGCTTAGACGTTGCTACAAATTTTTTTTATAGCAACACATAGAAAAAGTCAGGTTACGCATAAGGGTCTTGGCTTTCTTTTTTTTTAAAGAAAAGAGTGGGTCTCATTTTTTCTGTGTCTTCTGGAAAAAAAAAATCATCTGCAGTGACTGCAAAAAAAAAGATCTATATATATATATAGGGTTTTATGTTTGTTATGTTACATAACATAACTTTATTTTCCTACACACACAATATGTAACATAACAAACATAAAACCCATATATATATATATGGGTTCACTTTTTCTGCAGTAAGCCCAATACGACGTCGTTTGGGACGAAAATCATGGTGTTTTTGTAATTTTAATTTATTTAAGTGTTATAATAGTCTTTATTTTTATAATTTTTTAAGATTTCAATACCAAAACGACGTCATTTTGGGATAAAAGCTGATAACTTATCTGCATTAACTGCAGAAATATTTTTTCCTATATATATATGAGAAATATTTTCTCATGTTATAAAAGAGTTCTTTTTTTTCTACCAGTGATCCTTCGATTTTGGTGCAATATATTATTTTGTTATTTTTTTAATAGATGTGGTCCCCACACAAGATGTATCCATAGCTTGAGATACATATCTCCTACTACATAAGAAAATTGAAACCATATATATATGGCTTTAATGTTTCTAAAGTGAATGTAGATAAGTTATCTACATTCGCTCCCAAAACGACGTCGTTTTGAGTTTAAAAATTAAAAAATTATAATAAAAAAGACTATTATAACCCTGAAATAAATTATAATTACAAAAATACTTTGATTTCCACCTCAAAACGACGTCGTTTTGGGCTCACTGTAGATACGTTGTCTACATTGACTGTAGAAAAAGCGCATCCTATATATATATATAGGGAAATGTTTTTCTTATGTTGATGGAGATAGGTTATCTCATGTTAGTGATACAAAATTACAAGATGGACCCACAAATAATTGGAAAGAGAAAAAATAGAGGTGGAACCCATCTTTGTTATGTGTGTGTAAGAATTTGATTTATCTCATGTCAAATGAGATAAATATAACCCATACATATATGGGTGTAAAGTTTTTAAAGTTATTTTCTTTTTTCTCTTTATTTTCTACATGGACCCCACATGCTTTTTTGTGTGTATTTTGGTAAATATTAGATAAAGTTATCTGAAATTTGACACTAAATCCTAACTGTTAATTTCCGTTAGTCAATAATTATAATTTTTGACAATCATACTTATTAATTAATTATTAATTCTCAATAAACGATAACCGTTGATAAGCGAAAATTAACGGTTAGGATTTGATGTCAAATTTTAAAGTTTGACACTGTTATCAATCTTTCTCTCTACACACACACACATATATATATGAAGCCGTTAGATAAAAAAAAATCAATGGTGTCACATGCTTACAAATCAGAGTCGTTGATCTTTTTTGATCTAATGGCTCTCAGATGAGGTGTCAAACTTCAAATTTGACACTGATGTCAAAGGATCCTGTATATTTATATATATATATATATATATATATATATATATATATATATATGAGAAAAATATTTTTCCGACAACTTGAGAAAAGTTTATCTCTCGCCACCCTAAAACTACGTCGTTTTGTTTATTTATTACCTTGTATTAATTGATTCACCTTTGAATGATTATGATTCACTTTTTTTTTTCTTCCTTTATTACCATTGATCCATCTTTGTATGGTTATAATTTAGTAGCCGTAAATAAAATTTTCTCAACTAACTTAAGATAACGATAATTTATATATATATATATATATATATATATATATATATATATATATATATATATATATATATATATATAGGCAGGATATTCTTACACCAGTGTAAGAGTTAGAAGTCTTACATTCAATCTTGACCATTGATTCAGTTGTATCTAATGGCTCACATTACTAAAAAATTAGAGCCCTTAGATATAAATGAGATTAACGGACAAAATTGAGAGTGTAACTTACACTGGTGTAAAATGATCTTAACCCATATATATATATATATATATATATATATATATATATATATATATATATATATATATATATATGCAATGCGAAGGAAAATTACTTATTCTCTTTGCAAGATGTCCAGGGTAAGATTGAGATTGATTAAATTCATTTTAAAAACAAATTTTTAGTTGTTATGTTTAATTGCAAATACTCACGTGGGATGGGAAATAGTGATTTGGTTGAAGATGAAATCTTGAGTACTATCATTGCGTTCAAGTCTCAATTACGGTTGACTTTCTCAATTGAGTTTCAAGTTTGGTGGCTCATTAACAGTATTTTACAAGGGTGTTTAAGATTCATCTTCAAATAATTTCGTCAAATTTGTCAAATTAGGGCGTGTATATTTTCGTATCGAAATCAAATCACATTTTAAATTACTACTCTATCATGATTTTATGTTATACAATATTCAAAGTTTTATAAATTTTGTAAAAATAAAAAATAAATTTGAAATTTACTACAAGAAATTCCATAACCATTGGTAAAAGTCATAAATTGTCTGTTATAAAAAATTATTTATGACATTTCAACGGCCATTACACCGCTAATATAGAACGCATCATTAAATATTGCTGACGGCTAAAAAAATTATTAGTATTACCATCGACTATACTGATATAGAAATTCAACCCAATTTGTACTTAAATAAAGAAAGAAAGAAATTCAAACCAATGATTTGAGCAATAAAGATTATTGGTTGAACAAGTAATGTTTCAAGTTTTTTATAATTTGACACGTAATGTATACATGACAATTAATCATAATTAAACAAATAAATCAAACAAAAATAAAATTTTATGCAAATTAATTGAATAACAGTTATCTTAATTATATCTTGTGGTGGTATTCATTGATGCCACCAATTAGGGTTGTCCTGACAAGAGAAGCTACTGTATTGAATATAGTAGTGTACATCAGCAGTGTCGAATCTCCTGCATTCATAAAACTGTCCACAAGGGGAACGCATAAAGAAGAGACATAGACACGATACAACACGACCAAACACGTGTATTGACTATTAGAGAGTTATTTGAGTTTTTGGGAATGTAATTATGTTACAATTTTTTTTTTGAGATATTCCAATCGATTTATCGTTTCACGATTAGTTCAATTCGGGCTAGGAAAGATCGAACACATGTTCTCACCCCCACCTGCTTAGTTCCTGATGCCAACTGAGCTATCATTATTTGATATGTTAAAACTTAGTAACACTATATATATAGGGATAGGTCCTTTGACACCGGTTTCAAATTTAAAGTTTGACACCTCATCTGAAAGCCGTTAGATAAAAAAAGATTAATGATATCACATACCTACAAATCAGAGTTGTTGATTTTTTTTTATCTAACGGCTCTCGGATGAGGTGTCAAATTTTAAATTTGACACCGATGTCAAAGGATCCTACCCCATATATATATTTATATATATAGGGCCTGTTTGGAGCACCTGATAAAGAAGATAGGATATGATAGGATAACATATCATATCCTACTTTTATATCTTGTTTGGTGGGTCAATAGGATATGATTAATTTATTCTATTGTCTCATTTTATCCTATCCAATACATGATTTCTTATCCTATGGGGGAGTTGGGTTAGGATTCAACAAGATAGGATACCAATATTGGATACCCAATATATCCCCACGCTATCCAAAAGGATCTGAATCGTACTTGAGATCGTTTTTTCTCTCAAACTGGTTGGGATCGACGTGTAAACACATAAGATTAGTGGAAACAAACGTTTCCACTATTGAAGCGATTCAGGTAAAAAAAAAAACCCAGATTTATGGCGGCTTAGATTTGGGAGGAAAAAAACGGGAAAGAGGAAGAGTCTTGGGCCCAGGTGGTTGGTAGAGACACTGAATCCTCAACAACCTCTTGTGATTAAATTTGGCCAATGGAACTTAAAAAAGAAACTTAAGAAAGTAACAGAACTGAAGGAAGAAGAAAGGGAAACACTCGCTTAAAGAGAGAGAAAAAGTCTTAAGAGTGAAAAAGTTAATAAAAAATATTTTGTTTAAAATTATAATTGTTAGAATTGTATAAATAAATTTAAAAAATTTAAAAATTAGTTTTTGATAAATTATATGACATTATGTTAAAAATGGTATTTTAGTCTTTGTATCATATTCTGATGATATCTGGTTCGCCTCAAACACATGATAGAATAACATAATCTTATCAGATTGCTAATCAAGTGCTCATCACAGAACATGATATAGGTTTATCAGCCCCATATCATATCCTAGCCTTATCCATCTCTCTTATCCTATCCGTTCTTATCTTATCATGTCCATCAAACGAACATATATATATATATATATATATATATATATATATAGGGCTTAACATTTCTGCAACCGTAGATAGTATTATCTACAGCTGACACAGAAAAGTGGGCCCCACGACTTTAAAAAAAAAAAAAAAACTCAGGATCCGTTGCCGTATCTTAGGATTCGGATGCGAATCCTTGCTTGCTGTAGGTACAGCAGCTGCAGAAATCATTTTGCTATATATATATATATATATATATTGAGAGAGAAAAAGACACCATGTAGCAGAGCTATTTCCACTAAGCCGTCCAACCACTGGGGATCAGATTCAATAATATTCATGGTATTAAACAATTCAAAATTGCCAATGGAATGAGGTATTGAAACTAACGACATTCTAATTTAATGTTGGCCTTTGTATTCGTCTGGGAAAAACATATCTACTGGCCTTATTAAATGTGTGCATATAATAATCGATGGACAATCATTGGAGTTTATGAACTATGAAAATGAGAAGGGTTCATGTTCATCACTCTTTTTCATAGTGGAAATTATAATGCCTGATAACAATATTTATTGCCACCCTCCTTGTTGTCATCGTCATTTAATTTAAACTCATTTTTTTTTTTTTTTTGATTTGGCTACCTGGAAAATGACGAGTTACATATGTTTGTTTAATGTAAATGGTTTACATTGATAATATTCGATTAGGACATGCTTATCTGCTCAGTGTTCTTTAAAGCTCCCCTGTTCATTAATTACTTGTTAACTTAGTTGTCATTATGTTCATGATGAATAAAATATGTCAAACACAAAATTCTATAACTTTTAAAATAAAGAAAATTAAGGGTAAGGGTGGTTAGTTAGGTCCTTTCTTATTAATCAAGCATTATCCATGGTCCATGGTCGGTGCCAGTACAATAGACAAATTGCCCTAGTTTATAATCACATTCATTATATTTATGTTAATTCTTCTTATATAAACCGTGGCAAAGATTTCTGATGCAAGGCAGGCACCCACTAATAGCTACTTTATTAACTAGCTAGGTTCCAAACACTTTGGTTTTCGTCTAGCTTCTTCTCATTTTTCGAGTGACGTGACAAAATGGTGAAGATAACTGTTGGTAGCTTCGATGACTCTTTTAGCGTTGCATCCCTCAAGGCTTATCTATCAGAGTTCATTGCCACTCTGCTTTTCGTGTTCGCTGGCGTTGGATCAGCCATCGCTTACAGTAAGTGCTCCACTGTGAATAGTTAATAACTTTATATTTGTATTATTCAGCATTTGCTGTCGTGCCCTTGGTATTACAATTGTGTCAACTAGATAGCATATATATTGATGCATGCATGTGTTAGTCTGCGCGAAAAATCTTCAACTATAGTTCATAACTACGTAAACATATATTGGCACATCACATGCGTACTTCAATTTATGTTTGGACATTCAAAACATGAGAATTTGGGGAATTAAAGTTCGTTTAAGGAAATAAAAAGGAGGAAGAAAGACAGTGGAGCAGACGGAATTATTTGTCCTTGTGTTCATGTGTTGTTTGTGTTAGAAAAAGAAACGCCCGTGTATCAATGTTTTGGCGAACAAGAATGAAGGCATAACAATTAAGCACGCGAAATTACAATATAGTTATAGAATAACCCATACATACTCTCTTAATTTCAGGAAAAATTAGAAAAATCATTATAAACTTATCGTAAGAACATTAGCTAAACTCTCAGACTAACCATCTCTATCAATCATGATATTTATAGTATCATTATAACATGTAAGAATTTTTTTTAAAAATTAATAATTATAAAAAGTGTTTTTTTGTTTTCATTTCATACTAAAAATATGAAAATGTTTGATTATTTTATTATTTTTTATTTAATGTAATTAATGAAATCAACACTTTTTTTTTTAAATTTCTTCACCGATTCAGTGATTAATCAATTTATCTAGTCGAGTCGGATATGACCATATGAACGATAAAACTTTTCTATTAATTTTTTAATATAGCTACGTATAGAACTTAAATTCGAGACTAGTGATTAAGTTGAAACATGATCAAATTAAATGACGACGAAAGTTGTACTTTCAATATATTTTCGTTTACAACCTCTTACAATCATATCTTAACCGTTGATTTTTGTCAATCAACGGTTATCATTTATTGCTAATTAATAATTAATTAATGAATTTAATTTGTAAAAATAATAACCGTTGATTGACAAAAATCAACGGTTAAGATATGATTGTAAGAGATTATAAATGAAAATAAGTTTTAAGTATAAAATTCCTTTTAAATGATAAGTGTGTGTTAGTTATCACATTATTATTAAATAAATAGTAAATCTGGTAAAAGAATTATTGTATCAATGATGAATTATAATACTTTTCATAGTTCAAGAGTTAGATTAATAGCTTTAGCTAATGACATGAGGACCTTATTAAAGGATAGGGCTTGCCTTGGCTTGGTGAGATATCTAACGACTAATCTCACCTAAACCTTTATATATTAAAGAGTAAAATTTTCTTTGGGTACCTGACAAAAAATACGATTTTTATTTTTGTTTTTTATAAAAAAAAGAGTAAACTTTTGGTTCCTCTACAATTCCAGTTCTTTGGAAATATAATCTCTTACAAATTTAATGAAGACCCAATTTAATTCTTAAAAAAAGATTAATATGAAATTTATATATATATATATAGAACGAAAGTGAGAATTATATTTTTTATTAGGGATCCAAAACAAACTTTAGTGTGTACAAAAAAAAATAGCTTTAAAAAATTGGCATTAAAAGGCTGCAAGGAGTGACAAAGTGGTTGTTTTGTATTATATAGATGAGCTTACAGCAGATGCAGCCTTGGATCCACCGGGGCTGGTGGCAGTAGCTGTGGCCCATGCGTTTGCACTATTTGTAGGCGTGTCCGTAGCAGCCAACATATCAGGTGGACATTTGAACCCAGCTGTCACTTTTGGATTGGCTATTGGAGGCAACATCACTCTCATAACTGGTTTCCTCTATTGGATTGCCCAATTACTCGGTTCCATCGTTGCATCTCTCCTCCTCAATTTTGTTACCGCTAAGGTATTTCTTTAACAAAAATGTTACAAATTAACATATTATTTTGGGCCATAACAGAACAAGTTCAATTACATATGTTAAGGTATCATTTGATTAATGATTAATTCATAGATAAAATTTTTCTATTATGATATTATTCTTTGGGATGTTGGCAGGGCATTCCAACTCATGGACTGGCTTCTGGGGTGAACGCTTTTCAAGGTGTAGTGTTTGAGATTATTGTTACTTTTGCATTGGTCTACACAGTGTATGCCACTGCAGCTGACCCCAAAAAGGGCTCACTGGGCACCATTGCACCCATTGCTATTGGGTTCATTGTGGGTGCCAACATCTTAGCTGCCGGTCCATTCAGTGGCGGTTCGATGAACCCGGCTCGCTCATTCGGCCCAGCTGTAGTTAGTGGAGACTTTGCTTATAACTGGATCTACTGGGTTGGCCCATTGATTGGAGGAGGCTTGGCTGGTTTGATTTATGGTGACATCTTCATTGGTTCCTATGCCCCTGCCCCACCCTCTGAAAACTACCCCTAAATGAATACTTGTTCATGTGTGTGCTTTCAAGCTTCAACTTTGTTCCCTGTTTGCTGTCTTAAGTCTCTTGGCCTTTTTTTTTTTAATCGTACCTTTAATTATCCATCCACTGCTTGTAATAAATCTGTAAATAATAAATCAAAATGAATGCATGAAGATGGAATTGGAAGGTCCTTTTGTTTTCGTCCTAACAGATAATTCTCTACCAACAAAATAATCGTTTCTAAACATACTACAAGTCCTTTTATTCTTAAAAAAATTGTTTTTTTTAAAATAAAAGTCCTTTTGAAAAATTTTATATATTTGGATAACAGCTTTTTTAAATAGCAAAATTTAAAATAAAAGTTAAAATGCAACTTTTTTTAGTCAGTGGTTGGTTGCTTTAGAAAAAAACAGAAATTAAAAGATAATATAAATTTATTTTTTTGGAAATAAGATAATATAAATTTTTAAAATACAATTTTAACCTCATCTTATCATACCTGTTTTATCTCTCCTTATTCCACGATCATGCTATTTTATCTCTCCTTTATTGTAATTTTATATATAAAAAGTGCTTTTTTTAATTTTATTTTAACATCTAAATAATTTTTTTTTATGTAAAAGTGATTTTAAGATCATACATCCAAAAGTAAACCAACTTTATCTTTTAGAAAAAGTTCTTTTAATAAAAACAATGCATAAAAAGTCATTTTTTTTAAAAGCTCATCTAAACGGTCCTAATAAATTAATTTGAATTCATGTGGTACTCCTATATGTTTTTCTTCCTGGTATATAGAATTTTCATGTGAAATTCACAAATATATATCTGGACAACATTGCACCATTCTATTTGCTATTGTACCAAACAAGTTAATTTGAATCATCACTGATGGGATTAAACAATGTGCCTATTTAATTATTTATACCAATATAACATAGAGAGCCTTGAGCTTGATTCCTTGGTCTCTACAAAATATAAAACTTGAACAATAAAATATCTCGAACAGTATGTAATGACAATAAGTTTTAGATTCCATTCTAGCTCCACTCTGAATAAAATGAAAACGCATTTTAGGCTTTTAGCTATAAATCTAGGCACACTTTCAATTAAGAAGCATGTCAAAGTCAGGAAATAAACTCCGAAATCCTTGCCGAGCATGAAAACAATTATAATTTGATCATATCATTCAAGTATGCTTTAACGGCTGTCCTACCAACTAATAAAATAACTCATCACTACAACAACACTTTGGAACAAAATGTAATTTCCCAATAGTCAGAAAACCGACAACTAGGCCATGAAGAAGTTATAGAGCAAACAATAAAGGAAACTAAGGAGGTGTTTGGTTTGGGGATTTTGTTCAGATAGATAGACAAATTAGAAGTGGGAATGTAAGATAACCATGTTTGGTTGGAACGGTTTCTCAATTTGCCTACATAAGGCATTATGCCAGCAAACCATGTTTGCACCGCTTTTGGATGGAAATAGCCGGCTATCATTTTCCCTCTTTACATGTGGTATTGTGTAGAATCTACCTAAATGGTAATATTGTGTAATAACCAAATGACCATCGTACCCCTGCCTTACGCTGTCAAGATCGATGTATGTGGCTGAGTGTGGGGAAAAAGATGGCTGGGCAGTGGTGTAGGAGAGGTGTGGTGAGAGGGGGTTTTCCACGGTGTGTGGTTGTGGAGGGGTGAACTTGACTGGTGGTGGGCTGAGGACGGCGGTTGGTTGACGGTGTGGCTGTGTGGCTATGGTTTGTGATGGTGAGGAAGAGGAGAACGAGTATAGGGGCTATGGGTGTGGTCGGTTGATGATGTGGTGGTCAGACAGCTATGGTGGTGTCCAGTTTGGGTGTCGGTTAACCGGTTAAGAGATGGAGGAAGAAGGTTGGGGTTTCCGGCGGTGGAGTGATGATGGGGAGTGGGGCGGTGGTGATTTGGGGTTGGGTTTGTTTGTTCTTGGAAGGCTGGTTCGGTTGGAGATGATGAGGAAAGATGGTGGTTGTGGGCGGTGGAGTTTGTCGGTGGGTGGCGGTCTGACACGGTGGGAGGAAAGTGTTGGTTGGATTTGTGGAATAAAAATATAAAAAAAAATAATAATATAAGGATGAAGTGGCTTGATTAAAAAATTTGGGGTTATTTTCGTAATTGTAACTTTTTCCCATCTATATTTTGTCTACACCCAAACATAGACTTTATAAAAGTTTACTAATTTTTCCATCCAAATTTTTTCCAACCAAACAATTTTTTTACATTTTCCTACCTAACATAATCCTCCAACCATTTGTCTATACATATCATTTCCCTATCATTCATAAAATTTATCCTCAACCAAACGCCCCCTAAAGGGGTAATCAAATTAAAAGCTGAGAAGGGATATCTTTTAAGGCACAGGGAAGTATGGCGTCAGCAAACCAGAATTCTACATCAGCAATATACAACAAAATCCTCTGTCATCGAAAAAAAATTCAACCTCTCCCAACCACCAAAAAAGCACTATCCGCATAAAGATAATCACTCTACATGTATGTTGGTGTGGATGGAGCGGTTTGGTTTGGTTCGATTTTAAAAATCGAACCGAACCAGTTTTAAATGGTTTGGTTTTTAAATTGAAATCATTTTTTTTAAAATAAACTGATTTTTAATTTGTCCAAATCGGTTTGAAACCGATTCCAAAATTGATTTGTGATTCATAATCGGTTTTGATTTAAAATCGATTTTAATTTAAAACCGATTTTAAATCAAAACCAGTTATGAACCATAAATCGGTTATTAAGTTTAAAACCAATTTTATAACAATTTTTTTTCTGTAAAAACTCAAGCAATTTTTGATGAGTTGTTGTTAGGTGATACACCTAAGGAACAGGACGCGAACTCCAATTTCTTATTCAATGAATAACAATGTCAATTACAATCATCAGCTTTATACATCTTTACATCAGTAACCGCTTAGACACATATGTCTAACTAAATCTCCTAAAACTCCTGTATTACAACTTGTTGTTCCTACTGTATTAACCTATTGGGCATAATCCTTGGCCCAAACTGGTTTCTTCTTCTCTCTAATGGGCCTCTTTTCACTTTGGCCCGTAACATCTGCCTCCCCAACAACAGTGACCTTGTCCTCAAGGGTCAAATGAGGATAAGTCTTGTGAAATGCAGCAGCTATTTCCCAAGAAGCATCTTCAGGGACTTTGTTGGACCATTGTACTAGATATTGTAATTGAGGAGAACCACGAACATTGACCTCTCTGGTTGCCACGACAGCTACTGGCATCTGTACTGGTTTATTACTGATGCTATCACTTGGTAAAGAAGAAAAAATTAACTCTTCAGCAGCTCCATGAAAAGGTTTCAAGCTTGAAATGTGAAAAACAGGGTGGATTTGACTTCCTACCGGCAACTGAAGTTGATATGCTACTGGGTTGATCACCTTAATGATGGAAAATGGGCCAAAATAACGCTTGGCCAATTTATGACAAGCTCTCCTAGCCACTGAAATTTGTCTATAAGGTTTGAGCTTAACTAATACCAAGTCTCCTACCTTAAACACAAAATTCCTTCTATATTTGTCCGCCTGTGACTTCATTCTTTGTTGAGCTCTTTCCAAATGCAGTTTCAACTGAGATAAGGCTTCAGTTCTTTGCTGCAGTACTGAATTAAGAGCATCAATCTTCAGAAACTCATGTGGAGCAGTAGGAACCATGGTTGGAACTTTGCCATAAAGGGCTTGAAAAGGAGACATACCAATGGCAGAATGTATAGAAGTGTTGTAGTGTAACTTAGCCCAACACAAATAATGGAACCATCTAGTGTGCTGTTCTGAACAAAAGGCCCGTAAATACTGCTCCAAGTATTTATTGGTAATTTCGGATTGACCATCCGTTTGCGGATGATAGGCCGAACTAGCCTTCAACTTAGTCCCACTTAAAGTAAACAGCTGCTTCCAGAATTGGCTCATGAAAATAGGATCTCTATCAGACAGTAATGATTTTGGAAAACCATGTAATTTGACAACCATATTACAAAATAATTGTGCTACGGTTGCTGCAACATATGATGATGGAAGTCCCCCAAAATGGCTATATTTTGTTAAGCGATCTACCACAACCAATATAGTAGAAAACCCAGCCGAACATGGTAAAGATGTAATAAAATCCAATGTGAGATCTTCAAAAACACCTTCGGGAATTGGTAGAGGATTCAACAATCCCATTGGAGCTTGGGTGGATGATTTAATGTGTTGGCAGATCTGACATTGAGTAATAAATTCCTTCACATCCCTTCTCATATTTTTCCAAGTAAAAGAAGATGACAGCCTTAAAAAAGTCCTTTGAATACCAGCATGGCCCCCAATTGGAGAATTATGTGCCTCTTGTATCAACAGGGACCTCAATTCAGAATCAGAACTCAGCAGCATTCTTCCTTTCTGGAACAAAATGCCCTTCTTATTGTACAATTCTAGATCTGTGTTGGTGTTATCCAACAAGGCTTTATGCTTAATTTGCAGCTCAACACTAGTAGCATTTTCTAACCGAACCTGATTGAGAATATCAAAGGAAGGTACTGATAGATTGCAAAATAAATTGCTAGAAAGCATATCCTCTGATTGCCTAGACAATGAATCGGCCACTATGTTTGCAGCCCCAGCCTTATACTCAATGCTAAAATCATACCTCATCAGTTTACATACATACTTGTACTGATCAGGGGTTTGTATGGTTTGCCTCATTAACTCGCGAAGACTTTGGTGATCCGTGCGTATGATAAAATGAGATCCTAAGAGATAATGTCTCCACCTTTTTACAGCTTCCGTAACAGCAAATAATTCTCTCGCATAGGCTGATGCTACAGCCATTCTCGGGCCCAACTTCTTACTTAAATAAGCAATGGGTTTCCCCTCTTGCAATAATACTGCACCCACTCCAAAGTTGGAGGCATCAGACTTCACCACAAATGATGATCCAAAATCTGGTAGGCTAAGAATAGGTGTTGAAAACATAGCAATTTTCAAATTCTGGAATGCTGCTTCAGTGGCTGAATTCCAAACAATTTTATCTACCTTAAGTAGTTCAGTCAAGGGATGAGCAATGGTTGCATAATTCATCACAAATCTTCTATAGTAACCCGTAAGCCCCAAAAAAGCCCTCAACTGCTTAATTGAAGTAGGAGTTGGCCAATCCACCATAGCTGAAACCTTCTTTGGATCTGCCTTGACACCATCTCCTGATACAATGTGGCCGAGATACCCAAGTTCCTTAGCTCCAAACTCACACTTACTGAGTTTAATAAAGAAGGCATTTTGTTGTAAGCACTTCAAAGCTGCCTCCAAATGAAGAATATGTTCTACCAAAAAAAAATCATAGTGACTTTCATGAGTTCTAAAGGCCGTCTTTGGAACATCTTCCCTCATCATTTTGATTTGGTGATACCCAGATCTCAGATCTAATTTGCTGAAAACAGTAGCTCCAAATAATTCATCAAATAACTCCTCTATGGTGGGAATAGGAAAAGCATTCTTGATGGTGATTGCATTTAGGGCTCGATAATCAATACACATTCTCCAAGTCTGGTCATGTTTTTTAATTAGGAGTACATGAGAAGAGAAAGCACTATGGCTGTGTTGTATAAAGCCCAAGGACAGCAAGTCAGCCACCTGTTTCTCAATTTCTGCCTTTTGATGGTAATGATATCTATATGGTTTTACCACTACAGGTTTAGACCCTTCCATCAATTCAATAGTATGCATCATATCTCTATCTGGAGGCAAAGTAGTAGGGATAGAAAAAAATGGAACTATATGAATTTAAAATCTGCCAGATTGGATAGTGTACCTTTTCTTGCAATTGTTGTAGTTCCCTCCAAATCTGTTGCTGCCCACTCTCTTCAGATGTGGATATGTGCACATGACAAGTTAAAGCCTCCTCTCCTGGCCAATTTCCACCTTGAAGACATACTTGCTTTCCATTCCAATGAAATTCCATCGAATGATTCCGATAATCATGTGTTACCCTGCCCAACATGCCCAACCAATGCATACCCAAAATCAATTGCAGATTGGCCAATTCGACTACCCACAAATCCACTTTGAAATGCAGTCCTTGGATCAGTAATTCCACACCTAGACATTTCTTCTCACAGTTCAAGAATTCCCTATTTCCTAGGAAAACTCGCATTCTAAATGTGCGATATTGAGGCAATTTTAACTCCTCAGCCAACGAACAATTAATAAAATTGTGGGAGTTGCCAGAATCGACCAACAGATGTAACTCCTTTGTGTTAATTTGTGCTAACAACGTCAATGATTTCATATCATTTGAGCCTGATAATGAATTTAAGGCTCCATCCACTCTCAAACCCATCGGTTCCTCTGTTTTCCACACAATTTCTTCCTCATCTCCTTGCGGACTATCATCCTTATCATCACCGACCATAAGCAACATTTTAGCTTTACAACGGTGTTTGTTTGTCCACTTTTCATCACAAGTGAAACAAATACCCAATTCTCGCTTCCTCTGCATTTCCTCCGATGATAATTTCCGGAACGGAATCGAAGGAGAAACTCCCGTAGGAGGTGCCGGTAATGCTAAAACCGGAGGATTTGATGGACCAGTGAGTTGCTTTTCAGACGAAACAAAAGAATATTTGGGAACTGACCTTTTGGTGACTGTTGAAAAAGAGGATTTAAGTTCCGTGTGGTGGGTATCGTATGCAATGGCCAATTGCATGGCTTGATGTAACGAGGATGGAGAATGCAATTGCACCGCTCCTTGTAACTCAGATTGTAATCCAGAAACAAAAAGAACCATCAACAAGTCATCGCTAAGATTGTCTACCTGATTCATCAATTTCTGGAATTCCTGCATGTATTCCATCAATGGACCTTGCTGCACTAGTTTCGTCAATATCCCCCTGACATCCTTATAATTCGAAGGACCAAATCGTTGACGCACTGCGCGAACAAAATCAGACCAAGAACCAATCGCTCTGCTATTATAAACCCATTGGTACCAGTCAGCAGCAGCATTTTCCATGCGTAAACCAGCAATTTGAATCTTCAAATGTTCCGCAACATGTTGTATTTGAAAGAATAATTCTGTTTTAAAGATCCAATTGTTTGGTTCCTTTCCGTCAAACTTCGGAACCTCCATTTTCATGTACCTCAAGATCGCGCGGTGGTCTTCGACATTTCCCTCAAATGCTGTACGCTGAGTTCCAGTATCCAGATTAGGGTTCTCCGAAGAAGAACGGGAGCTTTGAGCCATGAACTCCCGAAATGTTGCCTCCAAAGTAGAAAATCGATCAACAAATTGATCGAAATGTTGATTCACCTGGACACGGTGAATAGCGAATTCCTCAGCAAGCTCTTGGCCTCGCATGGTGGATCAGAATGAAAGCACCAGATGTTAGGTGATACACCTAAGGAACATGACGCAAACCTGTAAAGAATAGAACGACAACTCCAATTTCTTATTCAATGAATGACAATGTCAATTACAATCATCAGCTTTATACCTCTTTACATCATTAACCGCTTAGACATATATGTCTAACTAAATCTCCTAAAACTCCTGTATTACAACTTGTTTTTCCTACTGTATTAACCTATTGGGCATAATCCTTGGCCCAAACTGGTTTCTTCTTCTCTCTAATGGGCCTCTTCTCACTTTGGCCCGTAACAGTTGTGCACAAAACCAGTTTGATGAAAAATTATTCCATGGTATTGTTACATATTATCTCTGAATGTAGCTAGAATTGGTTGGCTATTATCTCTAAAGCAATATGAAGTCCAGTGATACAAATAATTTGTTGACAGAGCATCAAAAGAGTTTAAAATAGACGAGTAATTAATCATAAGTAAAACATATGATTAATTACTAATCATATCAGCGTGTGTACCATAGCATGTTATTAGTGCTTTTGGTGAATTGTTTTCTGTCAGCCATAGATTCATATATATTTGAAAAAACTGAATGTCCTGCATAGCAAAATCCATAGATACCAATAGCAAATAGAATGCCACTCCAATTTAACAATTGTCCTGTGTGATGGAATCCAACACTATCTGTTGTCCCAACACAAAACACACAAATAACAATCAAGAAAGTTGCAACAACCCCTCCAACTGCAGATCACAAGTTCCAATAAGGGCATGCTAAGTTGTAAAATTTGAAAGCAGAAGGAATTTTTTTTTAGACATTGGAGAACCTGATAGATAAGAGATTACACGAAGATCCTTCAACCAGACTATAGGAAGAATAATAAGTGCACTCAAAATTCCAAACAAGTGCACAGAGTCTAACCGGAAACTTATACATACACTAACTACTTGGATGTTTTCTCATTCTGGAGTGCACGTGCCAAGCCAAAATCACCTAAACGTGCATTGAATTCTGAATCCAGCATGATGTTGCTGGCCTTGAGGTCTCTGTGTACCACTGTCTGATCATACTCATTATGCAGATAATTCAATGCAGAAGCCACCCCTGATATGATCTTGTATCTCTGAGGCCAACCTAGTGGGGTAGTTCTGGTCCCTTCCTCACAAAAAAAATGTGGTTGTCCAAGCTCCCATTGGGCATGTAATCGTACACTAAGAGCAATACCCCATTTTTATGGCGCCATCCTGCATATTAATTCCAAATTATAAAGTCTATCACTTTGTAATGTGCAGATATCCACCCAAAAACTGAAAAAACACAGGCATAGCTACAACATAATGAAAAAAATGATTCAACAAAAAAGTTATATACATTCACAGCGTTAAAATAATTCCGATGTCAACCATGTTAAATTCAATAAAAAAGAAAACTAAGTAAATTCAAATGTACTACTTAAAAAAATTAAGTAGTACATTTGGGAAATATTAGCAATTATGCTTATTAGACAAAAAAGAGACTCAAGTATCAACCCTATAAAAATAAAATCAAACAAACCTCCAGGGTCTCTTATAGGAATGATATATGGATTGAAGGGAGTTCAAGAAGTATGCATTGTGGTTTCACACTTTCCATATTTTTCACTTTCTGTTTGCAAACAGAGTATCAGTATCTCCACTATCACTTATATATGAAATTTTTCAAGCTCATAAAATGACAGATTGATGCTCTGGGACTAATGTATTTTGTAAATACAGTTTAATATAAGAATCCATCTTTGAACATCATGCCCCCAATGGCATCAAATCGTTCCCCGTAGGCATCATATCACGTCTATGGTTCACACTACACATTTGACCAAGTTCATACACCCAACTACCCTTTTCACAAATAAATCCAACCATTAAACTAAATCTCTTAATAACAGTTAAAAAGAAATCACAATCCAATTAAGTAATTGATTAAATTTTAATCTAATTAAATTCAACAAAAACAATTGCAAAATAACAGCAAAAGAAGAGCACCAAAAAAAATATTTAACACAAAACAGAGGTCAATAATTTGAAAACTCAAAGCATGTGCTGCAATAGGATTTGAATATCCCCATATCCAGGCTTCAACCTTCACTAGGCTCATTTGGATTTGATTGTTTATATGACTATTGTCAACACTTCCTTTTGTCTTATTAGTATATACATTTTTTTCTTTTTTCTTTTGGGGAGACAAATTATATACTTCTTTTTTCCACATGGAAGAAATACAAACTATTTACTGCTGTCTCTGAAGCTTCACGAAACTGTATAGAAGAGTAGTAAATTTTCCATCAAAATGTACCATATTCATAAAAACTCGTCTTTACAAATCAAATTCAAATTTCCACATAATTCAAGTCATCCAGGAATCATATATAAAAAACAAATAATGTTACCTGGGACTATAGGGAAAATCCAATATATTTCTGAAGATTAAAAATGGAGACAACTATTCAAAGTAAACTCAAAGGTATAAACTCAAATTTTCAGGCATTACCAAGTTGTCGATATATATATATATATCAAAAAATTGCCATCCCAGAAGGAAACTTTGCAAATTTTTATGTGCTAATGAATGGAATTTATAGTAGTACACTCACCGCATGCAGAGAAACACAAATGGAATATTTTCAAAACATTAATCAAAAGCAAAGAAAGAGAAAATACCCACAATAAAGTCACCGAATCAGCAAAGAAGGGTCCTTCAAAGCAAAAACCCCAATTTGGTTGGGATTGGGATGAATTTTCCCTTCAAAATCCTCCCCATGTATTAAAACACACTTTGAATTAGAAGAAATGTTGATTTTGAGAATACCCATTGATATTGGAGATTAAAAATGGCAGAAGAAAAATATTAAGCGATTCACAAAATAAAAAAACAAAGATAAGGAAAAGCAGGGGAAGATGGAAAACCTATAAATATAATCAGACGAATAAACCAGTTTTCATAAAATGAATGCTATTGTTAACCATATAATGCAAAATAGAATGAAACAACGGACCTAGACAGCATTATACATGCATTTTCATATCACCTAAAATCTCTCAAATCATAAGTTAAGGCAAACTCAGTGAAGCACTTTATATTCAGACAGGTATAATAAAAACATTAATTTTCTAAGTTGCTGAAGTTTTTTCTCTAGCAACTACTGTAATGAAGTAAAGAATATAATCGCCAGACAAAGATAACATGAATGAATTATTTGCAAGTTAATTTTCTTAAGCTTGATATTCAAACAGCTGTCACTTTTAAGTGCATCTTCTCATACACAACCATCCAAATTCCAAGCTAAGAAATCAACTACGGGGAAAGGAGCTGAATGAATGCACCTTTTATTGGCACCCGGGCTTAAAATCTTACAAATATATAAGATGGGAAATGCACCAACCAAAAAAAGAGAGGACCAAATAAGGGGGAAAATGTAAAACTTCAAATTAGATCAAGACAATATATCGAAAGAACATAAATTGTTTGTGTTTAGATAACCAAAAAAATAAAGTAGGAACTATGACCTGGTTTAAGAAAGGAGAAATTTCCAGAAACTCACCCAGTAGCTACTGAGTTAAAAAGATGGCAGTGGGACTTCCAGGGGATGGAGGATTTTGATTTAGTAGAGAAGCTAAAGATCCAGCTTTAGCTAAAGAATCAGCATCAGTTGCAGATAAAATTTCCACATCTTCTAGACCTATCTGTCTCTTGATCAGGTCCAAGTTTTCCTGAAGAACCTCAATTTCACCAAATGGCAATCTCAAATCCAGGGCTTGAGCTCCAAGTGCAATTGCTTCTTCCTTCTTAAACCTCAAGAACGGCATACATAGCTTTTGGATTTGCTTAAAATTGGAAGATTGACCTACAGAACTCTGCTGTAAAGCCTCCAATATCTCTGAGTCAGGAGCAAAAGTTAGAGTTTCTCTGTTAAATTTTTTCTGGAGAATACTCAGGCACTCGGCTTTCCAACCATCAAACTGTTCATTTACATATACCAGGCCTATTACTTTGTTTTCTGTCAGTGATGCAACTAGAGGACCTTTCTTATTTGCTTTCTTTGAGCCTGACAGTTGCTTCTGAAGCAATTTCCTCATCAAAACAATCGAGTCCTGTAGATATTTATTGGCACTCTTCAGTGTAAGATCAGGAGCATCAGCTGTCGGCCAGCCTGCATTCACCACAAAACCATCTTTCTTCAAAAGCTCTCTCCAAATAAATTCAGCATAATGCGGACAGATAGGTGCTAAAAGACGTGTCTGCACATCCATAAAGCGCCACACCAAGTCACGATTGTAACCTCCAACCCCACATGAGAATCTATACTCATCCCTGGCGGCTTGAAGATCATAAAAGCCAGTCTTGAGAGCTTCTCGAAACATGTAGTTGGAGTAACTTTGCTCAGTTGTTTTGACAGCAATGTTAATCTCATTGACAAACACACGATCAGCATAAGTAGATGGGGGACCAAATCTCATAGAAGATTCTGCAGCCATAATCTCTTCATACCATGCAATCTCTTTGGTGAGCCGAAGAATTGCAGCATTTGCTGTCTCAAAGACAAAATTTGCATCATCAACCCCATCACCAGCATCAGCCAAAGAGAACCGTGTAGCGTCGGCAGAAAACTCCTCAATTGCTTGACGCAATGTCCTGAAATTTCCGGTAGACTTGGACATTTTCTCAGAATTGAGCATTATGTGGCCATTACATCTAAACCCGCGAGGCCAGTGATGCTTGGACATAATTGCCGTATGGTTGTAAATGCAGAAGGTAAGATGATTCTGGATGAGATCCTTACCAGAAACGCGAAGATCAAATGGATACCAATACTCAAACTCTTGCTTCATTCTGTCTAAAAGGGATGCTGAAATATCAGTTGACTTAGGGTATGGTCCACCACAGAAAATATAATCCCAGACATCATCGGTCAGTTGTTGAGGTTTGATGGCAGACTCGCTAGATCCATACATATCACCATTCTGCAAATGATGGGCAACTGTGTAATAAGCCATGTAAATGGTGGAATCCGATAAAGACTCGACTAAGTACTGTTCATCCCATGGTATGCGCGTCCCAAGACCAAATGATCGTGAGCAAGCCCACTGGTTCAGCCAGTCTAAAGTATGCTCAAATCCATGTCGTGTTTCATCAGAATACAAGCTCATGCTAGACAGGCACTCCTCAGCTAACTTCTTCCATTCTGATTCCCCGTATGTAATGTACCACTGATCTGTAAGAGCTACAATACACTCATCACCAGATCTTGACATCACCCGCTTCTCGGGCTCACTGTAGACAATAGCCTGACCTGGACGAATACTGAAATATATAAGAATAATAATATCATACATAACATCTAAAATAAATTATTGCGAAGACGATAGTATACCTGTTTCCAAAAGCTTGCTCCTTATCAAGGGTTTAGCTTCCTGAACTTTCTTCCCTGCAAATTCTCCAACAATCATTGTTCCTTCAGTGAATCCTTTCAGGTATGTTTGCTTCTTGGCTTCTGCAAGCTTTTCTTTATCGTTCTGACTTTTGATTTTCATCTGCAAGCAAACTGTCTCTGCGCACTTGTTTCCAAACTGCGGAACTTCAATGATAGGCACAATCTCAAAAGGCAATACCCATTCATCCTTAACACCATACTTTGCCCTAAAAGCTGGTTTTGACTTTAAATCATGCAAGGCCATGTAGTCATCCGGAGCATCACTAGGTACACTTGTTACTACCCCAGTACCTTTATCCATCAAAATAGACAACATAGGAAGAGCGTAAATGATGTCATTAAATGAAAGAGGAGATTTTAATGGAAGGCCAATCAAGTCATAACCAGTAAGCTCCAGCAAGCAAGAAGGTTTCTCAGGGACCCGTGAATGGTTCTGGTAGGCAAGGTTAAGAGCAGCTCTATGTGCCAGAATAAACACCTCAGTTTCATTGATTTCAAAGGCTCCATACTTCCCATCAGGTAACACCCATGCATTCGTTTGCCCATACATGGTCTCAGGTCTCAACGTTGCAGCAGCCAGGAACACCTTTCTTCCCTCAAGCACCCCAAACTTAGCAGGGAAAGGAGGAAGCAACTCCATCTTGATAATAGTGTACTCTTGAGGCTGAACTCCTTCTCCACTTGCTCTATCATGATCTGCACAAGGCTGGCCATCCAAAGGAGAAAAGATTGTATATCTCACGTCCTTCACAACCTTCCCCATTGATTTCAACTTCCTCATCTGCCACCTAACAAAGGAATCAAAATAAGGGTTCATATCTGTTGTGATGAAGGACCTTCTCCAATCACAACCCAACCCAAAAGCCTTAAGGTCCTCCACAGCAAGTGGGGGAAAGTATGAAAGCCACTTATAAGGATCCTGAAACTTTGATATCTCACTATCAGATATACCAACACTACGCAAAATCTCCCACTGGTAAATTTGTCCACTTGATTTAGCAGCAGCCTTGGACTTTTTCCCCTTGAATTTCTCAGGAGGAGCACCATCACCATCACCATCCTCAGCCTTGGAAGGCTCATCTGCTTCTTGTTCCTCCACTTGAGCATGAAAAACGGGAGGGTCTCCGAATTGTTGGATCTCTCTGGCAAGTTTATCAGCTGAAGCTTTGATGGGCATGCCCGTGCAATGGAAAGCAAAGGGAAGGAGCACGTTGGCACCTCTCAGTCTGTGAAAAGCAGCTGCAAATTCTAGCTTGGAAAGAGAAAACGCATGCCCAAGGTGTAAATAACCATTCATGTAAGGGAAGGGGAAGTTTCCGAAGAACTTTTCGCCCGGTTCAGGAGGTTTCTCGCCAGGTTCAGCCTTGAAAATATCTTTCTCATCCCACCATTTCTGAACCTTCACCTCAATCTCCCTCAGACGATCCCTCCTCGCAAAACTCTTCCCACCCTCGCTCGCCATATCCGTAAGATGACGATGACGGCAACTGCACACACAAAAAATTAACGATTTCTCAAATCTAAAACCGATTAACAATTACCAAATACAGAGCAAAGTAAACACAAACTGAAAAGACCAGACCTGTGTGCCACTGAACTTTGAAAAGAAAGAAAAGAGTGTGCGAGGCGAGAAATCAACATACAGTGAAGTGAAACCAAGAATCAGACAAGGGTTTTGCATCACCCCTTTTGGGCCGGTAAGCCCATTACATTGGGCTAACAGGCCCCAATCTATTTTCTATTTTTATTTTTTTCAGATAATTAATAAACAGCAAAATAAATAATTATAAAGAAATTAGGAGATAACGAAAGAAAGACCAACAAAGGAAACGACCTCCAAAATAATGCTCAAGAAATTAGAGGCTCACTCAGACCAACAAGGACCTGCTGGTTGCACCCTTCATCAGAATTTCTAGGGCAATGGCAAGGAGGGTTCTCTTACAATATTGGATTGTGTACACCTTTTGAGGCTGAATACTGGGGCATGCTACTGGGGATGGAGTTTGCGTGGAATCGGACTGGTAGTAGAGGGCCTTAGAACTTGTGATTAATACACTCAGTAGGAGGGCCTTCAACACTCCATGGCGGGATACGTTTTTTTGGGCCTTTGCCCATAAATAATAATAAAAAAATGTGAGACTACGAGAATAGAAAGAACCGGAGAAGTTCATGAAATAAAAAAAAAAAAAAAACGTGAGACTACGTTTTTATAGGAAATAATTTTATTTTTTATAATATTACATATATATATATATATTCCCGTTGTTTTGGACCACTTATATATGGTTTTGGAAAATCTTCTTCAATTGTTTTAGACCACGTATGTATTTTTAGGAAAATCAGTGGAGGTGAACAGAAGCACAAGTCCACCAAATAGATTAATTTTTGAGATAGCCAAAACGAAATGGGCATCTTCCAAAAATTGTGTTTTAGTTGCAACCTCCGTCGAGTTGTCGGATTGGGCTGCAGGAACAGTTACAGTTACAGTTCATTTAATAAATCTGTTGATTCCCCAATCCTTTCGTGTTCCAGTTCCTTCCTCACTCATGGAACTCACGCGCTTCAATGCCCTGTAAGCCACAATCTCCATATGTTTATACTCTTTCTACGTGAATTTTAATATTATTATCGCCATTCAATGGCAAGTAAATTGGTTTTTGTTATAGGATGCGGTTGGAATTGTAGCTAAGCTATCGGATTGCATTGCTTCTAGGGGTGGGAACATTCTTGCTGCTGATGTTTTTGTACCTGAAAATAAACGAGTCTTCTACTCTAGAACGTACTCTCTTTCTCTCTCTCTCATGATCTTTTATATCCATCTAGTGTGCACACACACGAGCCAATTTATCTTTTTCGTCATTGCAGTGGTTTTGTTTTTGATCCTGATAAATGGCCACGAGTGCAAATGGAGGAGGACTTTCAAAAACTTTCTAAAACATTAAATGCCATTCGATCTGTTATAAGGGTGCCAGCTCTGGATCCTAAATATAAGATTGCTGTTCTTGCATCAAAACAGGTATATATTATTGGGTCTCATGTGACTGCTGATGAGAAAAGTTGCAGCAAATTTTTAACACTAGGATACACGTGCGGATTCTATCAAACAAAAAAAACAAAAAAAAAAACCAGGATTCGGACGCGTATCCTGTGTTGCTGCAAGTTTTCCCTTCTGCAGTCACATAAGAAGTACTTTCCCCTATATTATTAATGTTCTCCTCCTATTATCATTTTGATATTATATACATGTATGTGTGCGCGTGTGCCTGTGTGAGTGTTGAAGCTTTGTTTCTGTTGTTGCAGGATCACTGCCTCTTTGATTCGTTACATGGATGGCAGGATGGAAGACTCCCAGTGGATATCACTTGTGTAATCAGGTTGAATTTCAGAAATTACATTGCTAAATTGATTTATGTGTATTTTATTTATTTTTAATCTCTTTTTTCGATCTTAGTTATTGTCTTCCATGATACATTCAACAGTAACCATGATAGAGGTCCAGAAAGTCATGTGATTCGTTTTCTTGAAAGATATGATATTCGTTATCATTATTTAAGAACAACAGCAGAGAATAAAAGAGAAGGGGAGATCTTGGAGTTGGTTCGGAATACTGATTTTTTGGTACTTGCGAGGTATACACAGGTAAATAGTTCATTGGAATTCATGCTCTCTGTAAGTTTTATTACTGTTCCAATATTTAAGTGTAGTAAGTTCTGGTAATTGGTTTTATTCTTGAAATGTGGAGGCTTTTCTTTGGGAACCTGCTCTTCTCTGCCACTAAAGTTATGAAAATATGAGTTTATTTATGATTATCATGTATCTTATATGTTAATGTTTGATAATATTGATGCTCAGTATTAAATTGAATAGGAACATTAGTTTTTTTTTTTTTTTTTTCTGTCCTTTTGAAGAAATCTGTGGTAATGATTTATTTGTGCAGATATTATCCAGCTCATTTCTAAGGAGTTATGGAAAGGATATAATTAACATTCACCATGGTCTGTTGCCATCATTTTGCGGTGGCAATCCATCTAAACAGGTGGTCTTCCTGCATTTCATGGGTTAGAGTATTGCCACTTCTAACAATTTGTTATGCGCTATTCGTGCTTTCTTCCTAATTGTGTAAACATGGTTTAACATGAGAGATTGTCTTGGCAGGCCTTTGATGCAGGTGTGAAATTAATTGGTGCAACAAGTCACTTTGTGACTGAAGGACTTGATGCTGGACCTATTATTGAACAAATGGTGAACATAAACTTGTATTCTTGTTTATCTTTTGCCTACGTTTTAGTCCATTAGTTGCTTCCTTCGTAACGATTTGTTAATGATAATATTGATTTTAGTCTGAATTGGTTACAGGTTGATGCCATTTGTTTAGGGGTGTTTTCTTAACCTTTTAACTTTCTTTCATGCTGCTGGAGACTAAGATCTATATGCCAGCCTGTCAGGGCTGCCTTCTGAATTCTGATCCATGTTTTCTTAGTCCTCAGTCACTTAGAATTACAGCAGCCATTAAGATAGAGAGAACAAATTAGTTGCCACTGATATATGATATGTGCCAGTTGATCCTGCATATTTATGAGTCTCCTTTTAAAACTTTTTCTGTTATGCTTGAACTGTTTCCATGATTGTGTTAGGTTATTGGGAAAAGAAACATATACTGTGCTAGCTAAATCTCAAGTCTGACTTCAGTTTTAATCTCATGCAAGATTTATATTTTTTAAGGGTGAATTTCCTCATAGATTTTCTTAGAATTTTGGTCTTGTCTTGCCCTAAAATAAAGGACATTTAAATTTATTTTGTGTTCAGATTTATTAGTAAGCATCCACCCCACTTACCGCAGAAACAGATACTTCTCCTTGACAACAGACATAAATACTGCTCCAGAAGAATCTGCATGCCATGTTAATAAATGGGCTTCTATTTTCAGTTGGTAGTACGTCGAGTGTTAATATTTTTCACTGTAACTTTGTGCATAGGCATGATTTATTTTATGAGGTAGGATATCCATGTTACCACTTTTTTCTACTACCAATCTAATTATCGTTGGATCAAACTTTTCAGCTGATAATTTCTGAAGAATTTATTAAAAATTTCCGAAGAGAGAAAAAAAAAAAAAACTTTTAATATTATAACCATGTACTTCCTTCGAGTACATAGTTATAGTGGATGGTAGTAGAAAAAAGTGATAGTATGAATATTCTACCTCTTATTTTATACTTTATGAGAGCCTTAAGTAAGCTTCGGTCCTTCTTTTCTGGGGTAAAATAGCTGAATGTCAATTGCAGGTTGAGAGAGTTTCCCATAGAGATAACTTGCAAAGCTTTGTGCAGAAATCAGAGAACCTTGAGAAACAATGCCTGTCAAAGACTATCAGATCTTACTGTGAGCTTCGAGTTTTACCATATGAAGTAAAGAATACTGTTGTATTTTGAGGACAAACACCAACTATAATGTACCAAAATGGGTGTACCTGTATATGTGCATACAACTATTTACTTGGAAAACTCATTATATTCCGCTTCATTTTGCAAGAATGGGGATATATAAAATAGAAAATCCCCACACATTTTTTTCATACTCTTTCGAACACAATTTTTTACTATTGTGTGAAATTACATGTCGACCCTACTAACAGTCATTCATACCAAATGACATTGATTTACATAAAAAAAATGAGAATATCTTGATTCAGTTTTGTAAAGAACCAATTCAACCTAAAAGTTTAAGCTATTGGGTTGAGGCTACTTTAATGGTTTTATATATCTCAACACGCGTCCTTACATGAGAGCTTATTGAGCTTGAAGGGTGGACAATGCATAGACTCACCTACCTGTGCTAAGAAATTCCACAAGAGAAAATGGGAGGCGGTGAGGATCGAACCCGGGACACGAGACTTTGATACCATGTAAAGAATCAATTCAACCCAAAAGCTTAAGCTATTGAGTGAGACTACATTAATGGTTTTATATATCTCAACAAGTTTCATTTGGTTCATGACTCTCATTGTTAGTCGTCATTATCTCTACATCCGAATATGTCATCGTTAAATAAAAAGAAGGCAATTGCTTCTCGCATATTAAAATCATGGCACCGTGACACGCTAAACATGGACAACAAATACATCTTCAAAAAAAAATTTGTTAATATTCATAGTCTCATCATATTAGGGTAAATATATGCCAAGAAAGAAAAGAGTTGTGATTGTTTTCCAATTTTTAAGAACAGTTAGATCACGCTTATTACATTTTTTTATCATTCAATAACAGTTAGATCACGCTTGCTTTCATTTCATTTTATTTTATTTATCTTTCTCAAATTATTATTATTTACAAATACATCCTCTGACTTTTTCCAAAGAAAATATTCATTGCTGGTGTCTATTCAAGAGACTTTATATATTCATTTGTGACTACTTTATTCAAGTAGAATAGAATTTGTTCAAGTAGTATCAAATTCATTTGTGACTACATATATTCCTAGCTATATCGGAGACTTCAATACACACGCCTCATTCCCAAAAAACATGAAAGCAGCTTCAGCCAAGTTGGCTTTCTCAATGATCTTCTTTATTCTTGCATCCAGTTCGTCTTTCTCTCTCCCACTCGGATTTCTTGACAGTTCAAAGTTAAGAAAGAATTCTAAAAATGGTTAATATGCTTTTGGATGCAGGGGTACAATTGAGAAGAATGCTAGGAGCACAAGCACAAAGTTATGCATGTAAAAATGATGCAGATTGCGAAAGCCCATGTGATGCTGGAGGCTGCAAAAAGAACTGCCTTGGGTTGCCAAGTATATGCGTCAATGACCTATGTGCATGCCCTTTTGGCCCAGGACACACTGCTTCCAAAACCCTGACAAATTCAACTTGCGCCCTTGATGATGATTGCTCAAAGCTTTGTTCTTCAGACTGCAACATTAGAAGCTGCCTTAAGGCCCAGTGTCAATGCGGGTGTCAAGGATAAGGAACCAATGAACCATCCTCCTTTTATCTCTTGCTCTTTGTGGCAGGCTGTTTTATTTTAATAAACGATTATAACGAAAGAAGGTATTCTCATTGAATAATTTAAATAAAAAAGCTTGGTGTTGCTAACTGCGTTAGTTTTTGGGTCCTTTGCAGCATATCCTGTAGCTGTTTTTAACTATGTATTAGAAGTAATATATAGTTATAATATTAAAGTTATTTTTTTTTCAATTTCTATGTCAACAATTTTAATATTTTAATTATGTACTATAACATAATACTTATATTTCCCTTAATTTTTATATGTTAACTTTTTTAGCACTATTAATAACTATTACTATTAACAAACATGGTCTTAAGCAACTCCTGCAATGAAAATTATTGCTTTACTTTTGTAAAGGTACAGCATTCCTACAAGTTAGTTGTTTGGTAAAATTTTATATGTCCTACTGTTCCTAGAACCTAGAGGCATAAACAATCCAAACATTTCATGTGTCGGTAGTTATATTTGAAGATTCCAGAGAACGCTCTATTGCTTCAACAGAGTTGACTCGATGAAGTAGAAACTCTATCCCATCAACCCATTTTTGCTTCTGGAGTGTGCTCTCGCACTTGAATTCTAGAAGACCTCGTGCAGTTTTGAGGCCAAAATAGAGCTCCTCTGACGCTTCCCTTTCTCTTCTATATGGCCATGCGGTATCTTTATCACAGACTCCATAAACCACACCTATAGCAGCAAGAACTAATTTAGAGCCAAAAGAAAAGAGAGATATAGAAACTTTTGAAAGAAATGATTTTCATAATGGCGATAGATAGATAGGTGCATAGTTGTTAAGATTTTTTAATGTTAAAAAATCTTACATTTATTCTTTTTGGAGAAGGCTCCTCCAACGTGCTTGCTTTTGATCTTAATCTTGACCTGAAAAATAAGATAAAATCTAAAGAACCCGCCACCACATGAATATTTGTTTGTTAGGCCCGGATTAGTGTACCTGAAATTTCTTGTTGATGTAAACAGTGACATGTTTCCATCGTAATGCACCTGAAAAAAAAAAAAGTACAGCAACCTTGGACATTATTATAAGCAAATCCAATGTTGTGAATTCCCATTAATGGAGAAAGCAGAGTTAACTAAATATGCATGATCTTTAACAATCACCTTTTTCTGTGATATGCAACAAATCCCCCACGCATGGAGGATGAATTTCCCACATCTGAGAATCAAAAGCAGGAAGCCAATGCGTTTCTGCTGTCACCCTATCATAGGGGCTTATAGATGCATTCTTCTTTGCTTCTTTTGGCAATCTAGCTCTCAGAGCTGCTTCTCCTCGCAAAGCTGATATTGCAAGGAGAAAAGAATGTAGCAGTGAACAATGATCAATAGCTCCAGTTCCATATCATGCATATCTAACAAGCATTTTTCAAGTAGATAGATTGAGCAAGTACCTGTTGCAGCAGCAGCAGTAAGAGTCATTAGATCACCTGGGGTTTGAATATCAACCGCAGATCTGACAGTAGAAGCCACATGGTCATGATCAGCTCCAGCTAACTCTGCCATTTCAACACAATAAGATGCTAAAAGTTGTGTGGCTGAAGCGAGAGCAACATCCAAGTTAGAATGAGAGCCACCACCAGGGTCCTCTACAGCAGCTACAGAAGCCAACGCTGAGGCTAGCCCAGCAACAGAAAGAGCAGAATGCACACGTGCATTTTCTAGACGAGCCCGATCTTTCTTTTTGACTGTGATGTTTGTATTGCCATGCTGCTTCTTATGTAACCATTTTCCAATGGTTCCCATCTTTCGACAATTAGCAGAAGGTATGATCTTGCCTGACTGCAAAAGAGGATCATGCATGTTTTTTATGCATCTTTGAATTCCAATTCTTGTTAGGAATCAACTGGTAATTCTATGAAATTATTGTTACTCAATATTCAAATTCAATCAATCATTGATGCAAATGGTTATAGGAGAATGGCTTACTGCTAATTGAGGTTCAGAAATAGCTTCTAGCAATGTGTCATGACTCTTATTAAGCAAAGTTTGTTTTTGTTTCTCTGAAAGAGCCTTTGAAATTTCGGAAGCAGAGAGACTCCATGACCTTGATAAGAACTCCATAGGCTCATGGGGTGTCGGTGGCTCAGGTATTGCTGGCAAGGACGAGACCAATCTGAGTTGGTCATTTTCCTGCACATCCTCTAACTCTAACCCATGCCAGGAGCCATTTTTCCAAGGTGGAAAGAAACCACCTTCCATTGAATCTATAAACAAGTTTATAATATAAAAGAAGAAATGAGAACAACCCAATTAAGACCTCAACAAACTTCAAAAGTAGATTATTTGATAAACCAATTTCTACACTGCAAAAAAAAAAAAGGGAGAAAGAAACCTGCTTTATAGACCTTGCAACCTCAATGAAGAGAAGCTTATGACTAAATAACCTGCAATCTCAAATTTATAAGAAACAGAAGTTGGAAACAGTGAGGCAGAATAGATGACAAGAACACTGATCGAAGTCTTGTGCTCTGTAGCACCACGAATTCATGTGGAAGTTAATTAAACAGTCCAAGACAGTCCGATATTAACTAAGCTTAAAAAACAAAGTATGCTGAAAATTTAAGATAACAAGATCCGGGTGAACCGGGTTCGTATGTATCGGGGTTCATGCAGAGTACTGTTGTCGATGATAGGAACATTTTTTTAATAATTTAAAAAAGGAAAGAGTGTGTTATTTTAAAGAATTTTAAGTTAAAAAAAAAAAAGATAAATAAAAAAGAAGAGAGTGTGAACAAAAAAAACTAAAAGTGAGAGTCATATGACGAAAATTATATCATTTAAGATGACCAACAGTTTTTCCAATTTAAAAATGTACGGTGATATATTAGAACTAACAACATAATTTAGATGTGTCATATTACAACGTGGGTTTAGCGCGTTACGTACGTACTTTCGGTAGTTGGAGATTGGAATGAGGCGTGTGCAATGCAGGACCCGCCAATCACTGTGCCTGGACGGTGGAGGCCGGTTTCGTTATACTCCTTTCCTAATTCCCACCTCCAGTGTCCTGTCTTTATCTAATGTCAAGGGTGATTAACCCATTAATCTTAGGAAATATATATATATATATATATATATAGGGTTAGGATATTTTGACTACCAATTTTTTCTACTACCACTCTAATCACTATTAGATTAGAGAAAAAGTTGAATGAAGAGAGAGAAAAGAAAAATAACTTTTAATCCAATGGTGATTAGAGTGGTAGTGGAGTGGTAGTAGAAAAAATTGGTAGTCAAAATATCCTACCTCATATATATATATATATATATATATATATATATATATATATATATATAAGGAAAAATATTTATAATTTTAAATAACACAAAATTGTGTGATTTTTAATGAAACTACATCGTTTTAGTAAGTTTTTATATTCTCTCTTCTCCTTTTTCTTTTTATTTCTAATTTTATAAATTAGAAAAAATAATAAAACACACCAAAACGACGTAGTTTCATTAAAAATGTCACAAAGTTGTATCATTTAAAATGACAAACACTAAACCTATATATATATATATATATATATATATATATATATAATTAACGGTTTATCCTCTTAAATGACACAACTTATATCCTTTCACTCTCACAAAGAGGTGGGACCCACACCTTTATTTTTTTTGTCAACTCTATCTCCTCTTTATCTATCTCTTTCTCTCTTTTAAAATGACACAATTTTACATCCTTTAAAATGATACAACTTTACATCCTTTAAAATGACACACACTTTACTCATAAAATAATTATTCTTTAAATAAGCTAATTGAAGTACCTATATCCCATTATGGCATATGTTTGGAAATTTGGTACGTGGATTAGTAAGGAAACCATGCAAAACGAGCAAACGACCCAACGATTATTTTATTTGGCCTATCGATAAGGGTGTTAACGGGTCAAGCCGAGCCGAGCTTTGATCTTAACAAGCCAAGTCTGTATTTAAATGAGTCTGACTGGCCTTAGCCTGTTACCTGTTACGAATATAATATTGGTCTGTGGCCTGGTTTATTTACAAAAAATAAAAGCCCGTGTGAAGCCTGTCTTAGCCTGTTAGAAACCTTAGCTTCCAATTTGCAGCAATAATTTACAAAGTCTACAATAAATAAAAAAAATTAAAGTGAGAGAAGGTAGATAACAGGTTATATTATCTTAGCCCATTAAAAAAAGTGCCAACAAAAATAAAAATAAAATAAATAAAATAAAAAATAAATTGACACAAACGAGCCGTGCACAGTGGAACGAATGAGTTTTTGTGGGTTTGTTTGTGTGAAGGAGGATGAAGGATAATATAGAACAGCACTAGTAATTCCATAAATATACATAAATTCAATATATATCCAAATAGCATAATATAGAACAAAATCATTCAAAAAGTCTGTTAAACCAATAAAATGGGGTGAAATAAATTGATGAGAGAGAGTTATTACAAGTAGTATAAAAAGTATAAATAAATATTTATATACTAGGCTAGCCTGGGAGGCTCTAAGGCCGAGCTTCTGAATTAGAGTTTGAGACCTTTTTATTAAACGAGCTTTTATACAAGTCCAAGCCTAGTTCCAACACGAGCTTTTATTAAACGAGTTCAGGCTTTTACGAGCCGAGCCAAAGGCCCCTGAAAGGCCACTGACTCGTTTACCACCCCTACCTATCGATTGGGATAAGATTTCAATCCAATAAACATAAATTGGAACAATCAACTCTCATAAAATTATCCATCTTCCTTACAGTCTCACGTGTGACAGTTAAATGCTGCAGTGAGATAATTAATTAACCTCTAATTGTAAAATTAATATCACAAGAGTCAAAAACATATATTAACCTTTTTTTTGTTTTGTTTTATGTGACAATAATCAAGAGGAAAAACTTGGATTTATGTGACAGTTAAGTACTAGATAGGTAGTTCTTTTTTTTTTTGGGTGGTTAGTTTTTTTTTTTTTTTAATAATGCATAAGTACTGTTATACTTTTTTTATAAATCAATAGTACCTATTATTATTTTATTTTATTCAATAACTATCATTGAATCTTGATAAATATTGCCTAAATTGTATCAATATTCTAACTGTGATATTACTCTCAGGATTCTCCAAACATTACTTGAACCATAATGCAAAATATCAATATTAATTCAAGTGGTGTAACAAGTATTCTGGAAACCTCTTTTCTTAAAGTAAAAAGTATTACTTCAAACTATCCTTCTTCTCATTTTCCCTTTCATAAAGCAAAATTATGTAAGTGTCACTTTGAATGAATTGTTTTTGTGACAACAGTAGGCATTCGCTTTCAATGAGCCATCTTGAAAGTAGGCATGATAGGCTGTTGTTGAGCCATTTGTAGAACAAATGTGCCCATGTTATTATAGAGGTTATATCGTGCAAGTTAGGTGCACAATTCATGTCACATTGTCTTAAGCATAATTGAATGTGCTGTATTCGACATACATCTTGAACCTAAATAACTGACAATTACTTCTTACCTACCATATATTTGCAGCCGTCCAGAAATTTCAAGTTCATTAAGGCATATAGATCATTATCACTTCCTATTCCCGATTGAATTAAAATGCTTAAGTGGCCCCAAAAATTTTATGACATGACTACGATGCATTCCATCACAATAAATGAATTGTCAACCCAGCTTTAAGCGTATATAGTTAAAGCAGTGTTGGGATATTGATAGGAGGATTTTGAATTGAGCATGATATTATTGATAAGTTGCTTTGGTGCTGGTTTGAAGTTGCTCATCCATGGATGTTCACAGGAATAAGATAGGAGTGTACCTACAAGCCATTCGATTCTTCCAATATTTAAGTCAATAATAGTTTAAAAGTTAAAGGAGGACGATCGTTACCTTAAAGCTTGACTACCTTATTTGTAGTGTTTCAGTGACTTGATTTGGAGATCCATGTGATTGTTTCCGGTAAGTGGATGTGGTAAAGTTTCTCCATTGGTCATAGATGTAGGTAACTTGAGATGGTTGTTGATCAAAACCATTTTTATCTGAGCTAATCATGTGATTTTTTCTCTATACAAATGAGTTATGCAGTTTTTGTTAAAATTCTAATCCTGGAAATATACATCTCTTTTTATTCATTATTCTCCTCTTTAACTGAGGTATTTATACAAGTATCAATAACAGTACTAACTTAAAAATAGATAACAAATTCTATAAATCTAAACAACTAAACAAATCAATCCTATCCAATTTACAACAATATTTCAACAAACTAAATTCTATCAACAAATTAAATCCTATCTTCAACACTCCCCCTCAAGTTGGTGCATGAATATCTATCATGCTCAACTTGTTAATGGCTTCTTCAAAAGCTTTTCCAGAAACAGCTTTAGTCAATACATCAGCAAGTTGTTCTTGAGATCGTACATGAGGAATCTCAATTATATGATTTTCGAGCTTCTCTTTTATAAAATGCCTATCTATTTCAACATGCTTAGTCCTGTCATGCTGAACCGGATTGTGTGTTATCTCTATCGCAGCTTTGTTATCACAGAAAAGATTCATTGCCTGACTATATATAATTCCCAATTCAGCTAATATATTTTTAATCCATAACAGTTCACAGACACCATAAGCCATACCTCTGAATTCAGCTTCAGCACTTGACCTAGCCACTACCTTTTGTTTCTTGCTCCTCCATGTGACTAAATTTCCTTCTACAAAGGTGAAGTACCCAGAAGTTGATTGCCTTGTAGTCTTATCACCAGCCCAATCTGAGTCTGTATATCCTTCAATGCATGGTCTATCATTTTTTGAAAAAAGCAGCCCTTTTCCTGGAGTTCCTTTGAGATATCTAAGAATTCGATACACGGCTTTCATATGTTCCTCACTAGGGGAATGCATAAATCTGCTTACAATGCTTACAGAATATGCAATATCAGGTCTAGTGTGTGACAAATATATTAATTTACCTACCAACCTTTGATATCTGCCTTTATCTGCGTTATTCTGATTCAGATAGACACCAAGTGAGTGATTCATCTCCATTGGAGTTTCTGCTGGCTTGCTACCCAATAATCCAGTTTCAAAGAGAAGATCCAAAATATATTTTCTTTGAGATAAGAAAATTCCTTGTTTAGACCTTGAAATTTCTATTCCAAGAAAGTATTTCAGTGGACCAAGATCCTTCATCTCAAATTCAGCAGCCAACTTCTTTTCCAGAGACTTCATTTCTTCTAGATCATCCCAAGTCAACACCATATCATCTACATAAACAATAAGTATTGCCACATTTCCTTTGTTATGCTTAATAAATAGAGTATGATCTGAGTTGTTTTGTTGATACCCAAACTTTTTCATTGCTAAAGAGAGCCTACCAAACCATGCTCTTGGTGATTGTTTAAGACCATATAGTGCCTTTTCCAGTTTACAAACCATATTCTGTTTTGGATGTGTTGTCTTCACTCCTGGAGGTACTTCCATGTAAACTTCCTCTTCTAGATCACCATTCAAGAAGGCGTTCTTCACATCAAATTGTTTCAAAG